TCAGCCCAAATTTTTGGCATATCCAGATTGTTTCCAGGTTGATTTTTGATAGCCTAGACAGCAAAAATCCACATACAATGTGATTTTTGCAAAGTGGATCCAAGCCACATTTAGAGGTGATCTGAAATGTGATTCCAATCTGATTTTTATAAGAGGCATCTCAGTCTGGGTGCTCTGGCTGCTCAAATCAGATTTCAAAGAATTTTTTGCATCACTTGCAATGCGGTGAACAACGTTAATGTCAAATCCAAGAGCCCCAAAGGTTCAAGCTTATGCCAGAGATTTTTGAAGAGGTTGGCGGGTGAGATGATGCATCCCATCTCTCCTGCATCCGCGTTTAAAAATCTGCATCCCTAGCGTTGCTACATAGTTACTGTTACTGTTAACGTTGTTACTACAGCAACCCATGCAGTGATGGTGATGTCTGGACACACAAATCCGATCTGATCAATTGCAAATAAGAGTGTGGACAGTCTCTCAAAAGATTTGATTTGAGAAAAAAATCTGATTTGCCTGCAGTCTGAACAAAGCCTTAGTTATGCAGCATACTTTTGCCAATTTTCATAGATAACAGTGTGTCAAAGGCCTGCAATCTCAGAAACTACACAAGCGAGTCTGAGATTACGTAAATTATAATTCTGAATAATTCAGTCAGTGAGATTTAAAGTCATTCAGAGTAATTTGATAACAAATAGTTAACTGTAGAGAAACTTTCAGAATTAAGACAGATTTCTTTACAGTGGTTGTGATGGGATCCATGGGTTGTGATGTCTACAACACAAATATAGCCATTTTATTTACTATAAATATGAACAAATACGCAACCAGTGAACCTACATGCCTTTAAAAGACATGAACATATATTGAACGCATATATGAATATGTTTTGTAAGTATTCTTTGGGTACTATTTTGCCTTATAGCACTTCACATACACCTGTCCATTAAAATTAGATTTTAGGTCAAAACTTTGTTACAAACTATCATAAAATAATGTCTCAGACATCAGGAACCATATTTGTAACCATTTAGTGTAACAACTTTCTGTGAAGGCTTTCTGTGAACAATTCTAACTCGATAAGTTTCTCTAGAATGGGACATTTCACATCAAACCACTCTGAATGGCTCTGTTTACATCTCAACTATTTAATTATGCAGAAATTGTGAAAAATCAGTGGAACTCTAACAACTTTGCATGACGCTAACTGGTGGGGTATAAACTGTCTTACATGTTAGCAACATTAGCCTCAAAGCCTCAAAAGCAAATACCATCTATGTGTCAGCTGATCAGTGACATTCAGTTTAAGGGGAAAGTTGTGTAAATTCATTTTTATCCATGCTTAGTTTCCAGCATAGTTATAACAGATGAATTTGTGCTAATCTCAAACACAAACGATTGTATTGGTGTGATTATTAGACGGCAGGTGTATAATGACTACCGTAACCTGGTGATGGTGGTGGTCCATGGCCTGGAGGCCCTGCTGATGTCACTGCTTGTTGGCTTCCTTTACTTTGGGGCGGGAGAGGAGCGGCTGTCCATGCAGGACACCGTGGCCCTGCTCTACATGATAGGAGCTCTGACGCCTTTCGCTGTGGTGCTGGATGTCATAGCGAAGTGTGAGTTACCAGCACATGTACAGGCTAAAACAGTCACACTAGGTTCTTTTGTTATAGAATAAGAGGCTGTTCCTTTACTTGTATGCACCCAGCATTGTTTTGTGTTGGGCATCTACAGGTCACTCAGAGAGAGCCATGCTTTACCATGAACTGGAGGATAGGATGTACTCAATAACCTCATACTTTTTTGCCAAGGTAAACATTCCTACACTTGCAGTGAACCACACCAGCAGGACTAGTTTAGATATTGACCACAAGAAGGCAGCAGAGCTCCATGTGGCTTCTGTTGCTGACTTTGTGAAAACTGTAATCTCTTTTTTGAGTAAACAGCATAGCATCATATTCTGTATTCCCTTTATCCTTAAACTCTTGTGATTATAACCATGTCTAACCACTGGGTGTGTTATCTCCCTGTGTATCTTAGGTCCTGGGGGAGTTACCAGAGCACTGTGTCTTCACCCTTGTGTACGGTCTGCCCATCTACTGGCTGGCTGGCCTCAATACCGCACCAGACCGCTTCCTGCTGAGCTTCATACTGGTATGGCTCATGGTGTACTGCAGTCGGTCCATGGCTCTGTTCGTGGCAGCAGCACTGCCCACGCTACAGACCTCAGCCTTCATGGGAAATGCGCTCTTCACCGTCTTCTACCTGACAGGGGGCTTTGTCATGAGCCTGGACAACATGTGGACGGGTAAGAGCCCACATATATATATATATATATATATATATATATATATATATATATATATATATATATAAAATCGTGAAATAGCCCTTTAGCATAAGGTTTGGAGTCAAACACATCCTCTACAGAAAACACGTCTGCATATTTTAATGCATAATTACTAATAAAACATAAAAAATAAAACATAAAATGTGGCCTATGTAAAGGTTATGTGTGTGTGTGTGTGTATATATATATATATATATATATATATATATATATATATATATGTATATATTCCCAATATGTTAAACATGTTATATATATATCCGCATATTCACAGTATTCGATTACGTCATTAAGAAGACCACAGAATGACCACGACAAAAGATGACAAGACACGTGGACGCTTTAGACGCAGTCTCCACAAAACGCACTCAGGAGAAGATTAGCTAGATTGGTGGACTGGATCCATATAGCAGTTAGGGGCTGTACGGGGGCGGGGTTAAATACATAGCCCCGCCCATCTTCCAGCGCTCTCTGAAGGCTAAAGTTCAACGATTTTAACAATGAGCCCGTAGCTACATCAGTGCTTTGCTGTTTAACTGAATAGCGCTAATGAAACGGCGGCGTGTGCCATGTTCTCTGTCCATCAGTGGCCTCCTGGTTCTCCCACATCTCCTTCATGCGCTGGGGGTTTGAGGGCATGCTGCAGCTCCAGTTCCGCGGCCTCTCATATTCAGTCAACCTGGGCAACTTCACCATCAACATCGACGGCATGACAGTAAGAAACCCCACACAATACACCAAAACGCACATAACCAGTTTCAAACGGCCATTTCTGTAACTCCTGGTCTGTTTCTTCGTCTCGTCCCTGCCAGGTGGTGGAGGCGCTGCATATGAACCAGTTCCCGCTGTTCTCCTGCTATCTGGTGCTGATTGCTGTAGTGCTGGTCTTCATGCTGCTCTACTACCTGTCCCTCAGGTTCATTACGCAGAAGTCGTCCCAGGACTGGTGACGAGAAACGCTCTCAGATAATCAGTCCACAGGCCACATCCTCTCTGGAAGACACTTCGAGTCATTCGGGGCTACACCTGGCTGCCGCTGGATGGCAGCAAAGCACCGTGTACGCCCACCCTCCTTCACAACCAGTTACAGTGTTCAGCCTCCTTCAGCTTTTCTTTTTGGCAGGCGATTAGAGCTTTATGGCAGATATCCATCTGCAGCTTTTGCATTTTCTCTCTGTTTTTTTGTACAGCTTAATCTTTTTGTATACTAAGATTATTAAGCTTAACAATGTGCCAGTAAAGGTATATTAAAGGGCTTTTGAAACGTTTAGAAAGGCACACTAGGAAAGCATTTGTATTGTAAAAAAACGGATAATGTAAGTTTTGCACTGGTGCAAAACCCTGATAAAATTTGCCAAGATTATGTTTGAAATAGAAAACACATCTAAAAGCATCGAGTATGTCTTTCACTCATCATTCACGTATTTATCATGTATGGCCATATGCCAAAGTTTGAACACGTTAAGTATAACTGTTTTGTAGATTTTTTAAGTGGAAATAAGTTAATATCCTGTATATGGAACACACTTAAATATCTCATTTTTCTGCAGTTTTTTTGTGCATAATTTTTATTTATTTGTTGAGTTTAACATTTGGGGGAAAAAATAAAACATGCAATATAAAACATCCTGTAACTCTTAAACCAGCCACATTGTTTTTTTTTCATATTTTCACATTAATTTTGCAAATTAAAAGTAGTTGTGCACTAAAATGTGCCCCCATTCTCAGAAACAAAGGTATGAAACTGTCACTGGGGTGGTACCCTCAGGGGTACATCTCAGTACCTTTAGTCAGGGAACATAACTGTACCATAATCCATTGAAATCATATTTTCTAAGCTGTATTAACTCCACACACCCCGTCTCGTCTCCAGGCTTTTTATTTTATTGTTCTGTTTTAAAACATTTGGATATGAAAAGGTACAAATATGTACTTTTCACCTGGAAAAACCTACTTAAGGTGCACAATTGGACCCTAAAACCACTGTTGTTCCTTTGAGGGAACGTTTACATTGTTTGTACCTTGATGAACGAAAAACCTGCATAGTACCTTTACTTCTAACGGTGCAGGTGTGCTCTCTGTGGAGGACGTGTACTTATTTTCACTTAAAAAATCAGCGCATCATTTTATCAGGAGTGCTCTTGCATATAACTATGTACAACACAGGATTAGTACCTAGGATAGGATTGGTTAAATATTAGTTATTACTGAATATATGGGTGCTACTGGGTAAAAATTTATGTGGTGTCCTCATAGTGTTGGAGACAAATGACAGTGATTAAGCCACGCCCACAAAAACTGTACCTTTCAGGGTAATAATGCTGTCATTGGGTTGATGCCTTTAGTTAGGGAACATAATTGCCCCATATTCCACTTAAGTATTTAAAGCTGCATTGGCTCCATTGACCCTGTTTTGACTCTAGACTTTAGTTTTTCTACCTAAAAAAGTTAGGAAAATGTATAAAGGTCACTTTCCCCTGGGAAATGAATGCTATGTGCCTTTAAAACTTTAGGTCCATGCTGTAATTTTGTACATTTACAGTGTTGGTAACCTCCCTTTCTTCTGACAATGGAATCCTGATAGCATTAGCATATACCATGATCTCTTAGAAAATACAGACAGGAAAGAGCAGAAACACAAACCACAAAGTGAATGTTTGACACGTTTATTAACATAAATACTTCTGTACATGGCATCGTTTCATGTTATCTTCCACAGAATTATAAGCAGGAGTTAAACAAGTTTAATCAACTTCACAGCATTACACAAGATCTGAGCAGACATAAAAAAAAAGAAGAGATAAGAATGGAGGGAGGTTTCTAGTTATCTGCAGTACTGGGGGTCTTGGATTCCTTAAGTTTCTGTGCGTAGAACCTGAATGTCTCCTGAGAGGAAGAGGAAAGAGGTCCATGGATTAGCCAATTAAATTAAAGAGAGAAAAAAAGCCCATAAATCTACACTGCAGCCACGGCGAGTTAGCACTGAAGTTCAAACACTTGACAAAACACTGTACCCCGCCACTCTAAAAAGGAGTCTGAGGTAATGCCGTGTTAGGAAAGTCCTAATATGCATGATTATGTTTACCATCTAAATCTCCTTTGGAGCAATCTATTAACAGGCCCACAGCCCAGCCAATCCTCCTCTCTGGTTTCATCTCAGCACAGATTAAATGCACAAACACATTTACACTCTACCCTCCCTAAAGTCCTGCTAATTAAGCGGCGGCCGCCTCTAAAAGCCAGGCCTCTTCTGTTTTTTTTCCGAAGGTGAGCGCTTTCAGAAGATTACTGTTGCTCCGACATTGTATATTCCCCTATTAACAGCGTAATTAAAGTCGATAAATAGCTGTAGCTGTGTCGGGGAAACGGGGCCAGATGTGAACAGCACCTCAAATCTGGCCTTATCGGCGCTCTCAGGAGACGCTTTGTTCTCGGGTATTAGCGGCTGCCTCGGGACGGGGGAAAAAAGGGGAAAGGAGGGAAAGAGAGAGGGAAGGACTGAGTGAGGAAAGGAGGGAGAGGAGGAGAGAGAGAGGGGAGCACTACCTGAGATTGCTTTGTGCAAACTTAAAAGGTGAAGTGAGAGCGTAGGGGTGGGTGGGGTGGTGGAGGGAGCTTGACAGGCTCTTGCTTTAACATTGCTCTAAAACACAGCAACAGCGTTCTGACAGGCTGTAAATAATACAAAGGGGAGAGAGGAGGGTGAGGAAGTTCTTACAGTAGTATAAGGGCTGAAAGGGGGCGATAGGGTAAGTTGTAGGTGACTGTTCAAGTGAGACTGTGGTTACCTTGGGCAAGGGGAAAAAGTCCTGATTTCCAGGTAATAAAATCTGCCCTGCCTAACAAGAATTAACTTTTTCCTTTTGGGCTGGCCATGCTGTTCAAAGGGAGAGGGATACTGGCACTGGGCAATCACCACACAGACGAGAAACTAACCATTGTAAGTTCTGGAAATTTTCCATGAGATAAAATACTCAATATGAACTATCAGTTTATGAAGTGTCTTGTTTGTGTCTTCATTTTACTGCACTCTACGTCTCACAGCTCCTGGATGTAAATCACTGTGTTGTCACTCGTAGGGCTGTTTATCAAAAGTCAATACTTTTGTGACACCAACTGAATCATTACTCAACACTACAGAGTACTGAAGAATTGCCACTGCTTACCAGATTTTAATCCCAAGTGGTTGGTCAAGCATTTGTAAACCAATGAGCATGCTTATTCGAAAATAATACATTCTGTACGCATGTTATTAATGTCAGCACTTGATTAGTCTGTAATGTGTCAATCTGGTGAGTTTCTGGCTTTAGCCACACCCACTTTCAGTTTATAATATAAAAGACGGTATCATTATCAAAGTTTCAGTATTGGTATATATACTGAAAAGTTTTTAATGATACCCAGTGCTGGGAACTTGCAGCCTGGTCCTATCGCCTTAGCAGAACCAACAGCATTGAAATATCACACTTTTTAACCCTTCAACTTTAAAAAGTCGCACAAATAATTTGCGTATGTATAACTGTATACAAAAGTTGAAATATCCCTGGCCAAATTACATGATGTTCTAAATGGAAAAATCCCATACAGGGAACAAACTTAAATCTGGCATTTTCTGATAGTTTTAGTGCAGATTCTCCACTTATTTGCCAAGTTACACACACTGGAATTATTTTTTATCACCCAATATGTTAAATTATAATTATAATAATTGTGCATTAAAATGTGCAGAAGTGCTCCCTGTAGAAGATGAATCAACTTATTTTCACTTATAAAACTGACAAAACATGTAATTTCAGCAGAGGCACTCTAACGTATGCATGTGTATGTGGTGGGGGTAATTGTGCATGCTGTTAAATGAAGCAAATTCAATTGTTAAGCACCTGAAAAACAAAATTTCAGTATATCCCTTCAGCAAAATGCAACAGAGACAGCTCAAATACCTAAAATGTTCTCCAACACTGATTTTTGTGAATGTAATCAACTATGAAATGCATACTTCTGAATATGAAAGAAGAACATCTTAAAGTAAGTGGTAGCGCTGTGATAGGTGACAATGACGAGTCTCAGTCACAGTGAAACAGCACTGACTCCAGATGTCTTGGCTGAACTCAACATGGCTTGTCATTACTGGTAAACAGTCTTCTTAAATTATAACCACAATTATAACCACACAAACCTAACGTTAAAATATTGATACCGTCTGTCACTCTAACACTAACATTAAGACAAATTACAAGGCCGACAGAAGGTTTAAAGCAGGCAATAAGCCAGGTAAATATACTCTGTGAGCATAAGCATCCTCCTGATTGGGAGTTAGTTTGTATTGTATTGTACTGAAGAATATATATTCAGTATATTCTGCATGCATGATTAATGCACACAGAACGTTACAGAAGTAAAATAACTCAGTGTTATAAAATAAGCTGAGCAGTGTGCAATATTTACCGGGGGCTCTTCAAAGGGAACAGTTTCTCCAGCATCCTTGTAAAGCGACGCCAGTCTCTTCAGAGACAACTCATCTACCTGCAGCCTCTCAGCCTGCATCTGCTCATACAGAGCCTTCGCCGAGGAAAGGTCCTTATCCAGAGCTGAGAGAGAGAGAGAGAGAGATAGAGAGAGAGAGATAGAGAGAGAGAGAAGATCAGAGAGAGAGACAGAGACAAATGAAAAAAGATAAAGAATGAAAAAAGTTAAAAAAGAAAGAAAGGATAAGAAAAAGGAATGAAACAAAGAAAGAAAATGAGAAGAGAAAGAGAAGAGCAGACAGAGACAGAAAGGAAAGAGATAAATGAAAGAGAGAATGAGAGAGAAAGAGGGGTGAGAGAAAGAAAGAGGGAAAGAGATAAAGAATAAACAGAAAGAGGGAAAGAAAGAAAAGAAAAAGAAATACAGAGAAAGAAAGAGGGGGAGAGAATGAGAGAGAAGAAAAAGGAATGAAACAAAGAAAGAAAATGAGAAGACAAAGAGGAGAGCAGACAGAGAGACAGACAGAAAGGAGAGAGAGATAAATGAAAGAAAAAATGAGAAATAAATACAGAGATCAAGAAAGAAAGGGAGAGAGAGAAAGAAATAAAGAATAAAGAGAAAAAGAGAAAAGAAAAAGAAGACAAAGAGGAGACAGAAAGAGATATATGTAAGAAAAGGAAAGAGAAATGAAAGAGAATGAAAAGAAAGACAAAGAAGGAAGAAAAGAGAAAGAATGGCATCAGAAATTCATTGAGTCAGTGCTCGGTATTGGTATATGCTGTATACATTTAAGTTGCAGGATGGAAGGATACAGAGAGAAAACTAACATTTGGAGCAGAGCTAGAAAAAAGTTAAATAAATAAATAAATAAATAAATAAAATGACCAAGAACCAAAAGCGGATGAGCTACACAGGAAGAGTTTTCAGACTACAGCGCAGTGTTAAATATCTCATCATTCATTCTGCTCTGCTCTTGACCAGTGGGCAGGTGCCACAGGCCTCATTAAATAGTCATGCGCTACAGCAGTGCGAATTGGCCAGGGAAGAGTTCTGTAAGTACTTTAACATGTCAGAGCTCTCACGCCAGGTTGGCTAAAGCAGGCCCTCATTAGGGAACACATGTTTTTATTAGCAAACGCAGCTCCTGGGTGCCTGCAAGCACGCCCCGCTTGTTGCATTTTTAATTGGCCGGGTAATAACTGCTTAGCCACAGGCCAGTGAGCCGAGCGCCGCTCAAACGAGCGGGAATCGAGGACGGGTTGACGAGCCGAGTGCCACATCTCTGAACCATGGACACTGATCTGAATTTATTAGCTCAAAAGTGGCACTCGGATGGCATGTGGGTGCCCAAACAACAAAACTTTAAAAAGACCAGTCATAAAGGAGATTAAGATGGAGCTGCGTAGGACTGATCAACAGTTCACTGAAACACACAGCATTCTTACCATAGCACTTCATCAAGTAAGCACAGACTGTCTCCTTCTCAGCGAATTCTGGAATCAACTCTATCAGAGTCTTTATCTTGGCCACCTAAAAAATGAAAGCACACAGAGGTTAAGTGAAAAGGAAAGAACAGGTTAAGAGGGAAAAAGCAGTCATGACTAGACATGTGCCAACATTCAATAATAAGGTACATCACGATAATCAACACACGCTATTAAAGTGGGCACTTTAAAATACCGTCACTGCATTTTAGTCAAACAAGCTGCTGTTTTTTTGTAAATACGCAAAGCAGTTCTGGATTTGCAAGGTCCCACTTCACTGCCGCACTGCTTTTTGTTCTTTTTTTTATAAACAAGGACATGGGAAAAGGATTTATGAGTAGTAGCGATGATGAATTTAGTATTTTTCCTTCAAACATTGCAACTAAAAGGCCCACGGGCTGCGTACAAACATTCTACAAAAAGAGCTGGTCATGAACAGACAAACGGATACGGCTAAATAAACAAAATGGCTATGAACATTTGCTGTGTTGTACCTTGTTAATCAGTCAATCCCAGCCTTTTAGTCATATGCAAAACTACCCCTGGACAAAATACACCTTGTTAATTTTACAAGTGAAAAAAATGAACTCATCGTTTACAGGGAACTTTAATATGACCTTTAATATGACCTCAGGCATTGTCTTTTCTTTAACCTCTGCATTTTTATAGTCAGCGTGTTGCTAGTCATGTATGTTTTTACGTTATGCCTGTTTATGCTGTTCTGCCACCATTTCTTTGGACTGCAACCTTGACAACTGAGCTCTGAACTAGCGCATGCAGTAATTTGAGCTAGCCCTATTAAAAGTATATGCAGTATCACAGGCCAATCAGTTTTAGACTTGATGTGAAAGATGATTTTAATATGTGTGTTTACTTTTAAAACTTTACATGGCGTTCTCAGTGTGAATAGGCCATTACTGGTTTGAGGACCTCCACAGCACGGTGAAGTTTGCAGTGCTATTCTTTCCTCTAGCCTGTGTCTGATTCATGAAACCTTTGTATGACGTGGAAACGAGCAGAGACTTAAGCACAAATGATGAATCTGCTTCAGTGTGTGAAACCAAGCGCCAGCCTAACGGCACCTTATTTACATATCATTAACACGAAGCACACTGAAATCATGCATGTTTCGGTAGGAGCCAATAAAATAACAGTATTCAGTGGCTCGTGAGTGCACCGCTTCCCCTACTGACCAAACTTAACAGTCTTAAAATTGTGATGGAAATAATAAAATGTGAAATAAATATAACGTCTTTGCTTCTCAAGGCAGGTGACGTGATTGTGTAGTTGTATTATTTTTTTTCTTTTCATTTAAACATTCTATTGTTGGAGTGTATGAGTGTGTATGAGATGTTCTGCACTAGTTGTGTTTTGTATTGTTTCTTTTTTTAGGTGATATCAGTAGAGTGAAACAAAAGCACAGTGAAATATGTCTTTAAATCGAACATGGAATGGTTGCAGCCTTTGCTGTACATGTAAAATAAGTACATTCACTTCTGTACTGGACTGCCACATGCACAAATTATTAGTATTACTGTTATTTTCTATTTTTATTCTTATCATTGGTGTCATAGATGATAGCAATAATAGTTTTGGTTAATTAATAGCAAAGCAAGCTCATAAAAGCAACAATCTTGATCTTACAGATGAAACTGATGAATAACAAAACTGCCTGTGAAATCTGCATGCCCTCATTTTACAGTCATATATGACCGTATGTAACTGATGAATAAGGGCCAGTGTGCTAGCTAGAGTACCAAAGCTCTACTTCCCAGTCTGAAGAAAAGAACTAGGAAAAACTGAAGATATGATGTCCAAATGCACAGGATTCCAGAAAGGAATGAAGATGCCATTATATGTCATTATACAAAGTGCCATCAGGGAAGTTCCCCAAAATGTATTACCACCAACGTTATTACTATCACTACATGTACGTACATGTATTAAATTATTAATGTACTGTTTGTTTTTCTTAATGCAAAATTATGATACCATAAACAATGATAAAACGTTAAGTAAATCAACGTGATCATTTTTGTCAGCACATGCCTAATCATGATGCCAAGCAGCACTTTTGGTTGCTCATAAATTTAGATGGTAATACTGTACATTCTATCAAAGACGCAGCCAGGGTTCTGTTTTGAGTATTTTGTGAACATCAGTTTCACTCTATGAGCTGAAAGCTTAGACTTCAGGCAAAATGAGAGACAGGATTGAAAAGCTGATAAGGATGTACTGTACCTGTCCTGACTTCTGGGAGATCTTGGTCATGTAGGACATCATTGCATCCTTCTGTTCAACAACTGCTGCACAGCGCTAAAGCAAGAAAAGAAAACCCTTAAAACTCTTGCACACTGAATTAGTAAGAAAAGACCACCAGGTAGAGCTATGTGAGTGCACACACATGTAAAAATGCACAGAGAGGCATGTACATGTAGAGTGTGTGTCTGTGCGTGTACTGAAAGAGCTGCTGAATGGTATCCATCCTCTTCTGTATCTCTTGGCACTCAAAGCAGTGCCTCTACAGTTGAAGGTTAATTACACAGCTAATAGGGAGTCAGGGGGATAACCACTTATTTCTTTATGAAAATTAAAATGTACAGCACCAGCCCAATTTGAAGTATAATTATCTACACTTAGTCATATAAAGGCTTTGATTTGAATCTGTATGCCCGCAACACTTTCAGGCACCAGTGTATAATTTTCACACTCTTTCATTAGCTTAATACGCTACAGGTGAAAAGCGCTGCTAAGAACTGATCTCAGATCAGCTGCTCGCTACTTTCACCGAACACAGATTAGTATTCAAGGCCAGTAAACTTTACAATGCACAGAAAGTATGCTATATGGCCTAAAGTATGTGGACATCCAAACATCACTCTTCTGGGAAGGCTTACCACTAGATTTAGGAACATTGCTGTGAAGATTCACTTCCCTTCAGCCCCAACAGCATTAGTAAGGTCAGCAATGATGCTGGATAAGAGTTGGCTAACAGTCAGCAGTTCAGTTCATCCCAATAGTGTTAGATGAGGTTAAGGTCAGGGCTCTTTGACAGCCATTCAAATTCATCCACACCAAGCTCTACTGTTGTTGCCACAAATTTGGAAGCACACAATTCTTTAGAATGTCACTGTATGCTGTAGCATTAAGGTTTTCATTCAATTTATAGGGCTCAAACCATAAAAAAAACAGCCCCAGGCCACTATTCCTCCATTATTCCAGGCTTCAAGCCTGAATAATTTCTCCAGAAAATCTATTTCCTCTGTTCAAGAGTCCAATAGCGGTGTTCTCTCGGCACTCTAGCTGACACATGGCACTGCACAAGGTGATCTTAGGCTTGTCTGTGGCTTTTACCAGTTAATTACCATTTGATTAACAGAACTTACAGCTGACTATAGCAGCTCTAACTGGATGGAAATTTGATGAACTGACTGCATGTGACTGTACGGATGCATGTTCGATTGTATGCAATTGGCGTGACACATATTTCTGGCCATGAAGGTAATGTAAGTAAACAGGACAAAATATAGAGGCAGAAATCTGTGTATATTTAAACGACAAACAGGAGTGCTTCAGTCAATGTTGACTTAAGTGACTAACATCAGATGATAGTCTACATGTCAATTTTGCTAATTTAATAACCAGTGAATTCCCAGAAAGAAAGAAAGGATCCAGTGCACTATCAACATTATGTTACCCAGTGTCACACAGCTTCCTAATAAAGACAAGTTGTCAAGTGTGAGCAGCGTTGCAAATTCTGAATGTAAACAAGCATTGGACTGTTATCTAGGTTTTCAGATAAGCAGCTAGAAATTGTAGTGTTTGGCATTAATCTCTTTCCAGCTTTCAGCAAGGCTTTGTCACTCAGGTTGTCGACCCCATTTAGATAAGCAGTCCTATCTGATTTTCTTGTGTGGATTCAGCATGCATTTTTACATGAAGCCTCTTCAGTTCGACAGATGCGAGTAAAAAGGGTATACAACTCCAAGTTTCTTCATACTAAATACACTCAGGAAGGTATGTCCCCAGTAACAACACCATCAGATACGGTCGCAATTATGTACTACACATCAACAACTTTCTATAACCATTTCTGTCAGATAAAAACTGTGTGGAGGAAAAAGCTGTCTGTGTGTGTGTGTGTGTGTGTGTGTGTGTGTGTGTGGTCTTGTATAAGTGAGACTGTGATGCTTTTTTAAAACTGCTGTGCTGCCCCGAGCTCTCTCTGGGTTCAGTGGCAATGAGGTCGCGTTACAAGCCAGTCGTGAAGGATGTGTGTTTCGCCGGCTGCCGCTGAATTAAAAAGCCAAGAGGCCTGGGAGGCTTTTAACAGGCTTGTGTATTAAAATGGACCAGAGTCAGCTCAGCGCCTGAATGCCTTTAGTACAATCAGAGCAATTAAAACACCAGCCAAGCGCTATGCTGCTCTCAGGGGAGGAGCTCCACTTTAGGACTGATTTAAGATCAGCCTGTGGTTCATACATACAAGACGATAGGACCTCTGTAGGCTTAAATGGCTGATCCGAGGCCTGTCCTAAACTTACATTTTCAGGGACATTTAGAACTCCCTCTGTGGGACGTTCTCAGGATTCTAGCCCGCCATGTCTGAAGCTCTCCTGGTATATTCTCATCTCCAAAGGCTTGCTTTCACGACCTGGTTTGAGCTGCTGCTTAATTCAGCTATTTTACAAGACTTTTTACTCAACTTGTTAGGGGGCTTTTTGGGAGATGCCTGGCTTCCTTAAAGAAAAGAATATATAATGTGCATAGTAAAAGCAGAATATCTAATGTGGGACTCAGTAAGAGCACTGAAAGGGCAGGAGATCATCAGAGCGGAACTTAAAGCTAGCAAAACCGGCTTGAGCATGAGTACAGCAACATATTCAGCATCCCCCACTCATCAAAGAACAGTACCAAAGCGATGGAGGGTTCATTTTTGTAAACATGATATACGATGAGAGTGTGAACAAACTTTTTAAAGTATAAAGAACCACTACATCGCTGTTGTCAAACCTCATATCTGCATTTTTTTTGCTTTTCAGTTTTTGATATAATTTGAAAATGCCAAATTAAATTAAAAGTGAATTATGTTTTTCCTTCTCCTGTAAAGTTACCATTTTGGAGATACATGGTTTTCTTCCAACAGCAATGATATAATAAAGTTCTATACAAAAATAAAATTAGAAGACTCCTAAATGGTTTTTGGTTTGGAGTTCAAGGAAAAATGTTCGACTGGTGTATGGCCTTTATATTACTTGGAAGTTCTTTAAACTTTATGAAGGATCTTTATTCTGGCACCTCTCATCCACTGAAATGTTCTGTAGTGAAACAAAATGGCACTGCTCAGAATCCTTTGGACTGTCAGTAAGGTCAGAGAATGTGCTGTAGCTGTGGAGGATTGAAGTTACCTGCAGCAGGAACTTTGCCTCCTCTGTCCTGCCCGTGTCCAGGTACTGCAGGAATAGGTCAGTGGCAGCCCTATATGAGGCAAAATGATTACACAGCCGCTCAGCCATGGCACTCACTGAGAGAGAGAGAGAGAGAGAGAGAGAGAGAGAGAGAGAGAGAGAGAGAGAGAGTGTCATGGTTAGAAATGTATGGCATCCATAGTGCTTGAACATATTGCTTAAAATTACTAAAGGGCCCTTTTTTATTTTATTTTAGTTTTTCCCCTTATGTGGTTTTATATACCAAAAACAGTTGCAAAATGTTAAACACTTTTATGAAACAATAATAAAATGAGGAAAATTCACTTTTCCATAACATGGTTCCTTTAAACATTGGTTTCACCATTACACTTGTATAATGCAGATATTTAGTCCCAATATGAAAGATCTATTACTTCAATGGTCAATGGTCTAGACAATGTTGTACATAGTATGCACAAACATACACACCAGACATAATGTTTATTTTTAAAGTACATCTTCTAACTCATCACCTATTGTCCATATTACGCTTAACATAATCAAAAATACCTGTATTAGCCCTGGGCACAAAAGAAGTATGTTTTACTACCACAATCCCAGAATGTTTATATGGCTGAAACCTTAGGTATGGACACAAACACGGGTAACTTGATGACTGTTTGTTTCACAGATAAAAACAAACGTGAGATCATGGGAAAGTAGCAAGACTTGGAGCACATATGCTATCATAACCATTAATACTGTACTACTGTGAACAGCAGTAAAATTGAAAGATAAGTAAAGAGCCAAGTTGGTCTTTTAGCTGTCTGCTTTCAAGGTTCACAAATTAAAGGGCTCTCCAGGGCTTTAGGTCTTACATTTATCAAGGGCACCCTCGTTGTTTGCTTCTAGAACTTTACGGAAGACAAAGGAAATGTTTTTCTGTGGACTATCTGAGCCCTGGGTGTACACAGACTCCAGTCCCTCCACTGCACTCTGAATGTCACCACTGTGAGAGAGAAAGAAAGAAAGACATCATTTAAGAGTCATGGTAGAACGGATAAGTTGACCTAAATACAAACAAAGCCTAGAACAAAGTTGCTATTCATCATTCACTTCAATAACATATGTATATGTACATGAGTGGAAAAGACATGTAGCAGCAATATAAAACAATCAGCAGTTCACTTCTGAGTAGAGCAAAGAGAGGGTAACCTCACCCCTTGAATAATAAGGGCATAAAACTTTCATTGGCCATATTAATATTCACAGTTGTGGGCAGGCCAGTTCCAGATTGTCACTGTGTTCTGTTTTGCGCTGTGAGGAGCGGGACAGCAGAGGACAGCAGAAAAGCAAAGCGCTCGCTCATGGCTCAATGGGCACATTGCCCTGCTCTCATACCCTCCCCATTCTTGTCAGGGTGAACTCTGACCCTCGCCTGGGCCTAAACCACACTGACACGTGCAGCCAGCGCGGCTGAGCCAAACTGACTGGTTAAGAGGCGAGACGGAAGGTTCCGGAAGCTGGGCACCGCATTAGCGCAGGCCACGCTGAATTATTCAGACCGGCCGGTTGCAGCGATCACAGTCGATTGGGGGCTGTAATAATAATGGCCAAAAAAGAAAGGGGAAGGGAAGAAAAGGGAGAGGGGAATGCAGAGGAAGAAAGCTAGCTGGACTAAATGCAGTGCAGGCAGCAGGGGACACGCAGGCCTGTAGGGAGTTAAAAACTAGTGCCTTATTCCACGCAGAGTAATGAACTACACATACTGAAGTGAACTGCAACTAACAATGGTTACTGTAACTATTCAACTATTGCTCAATAGATCAAACAATTACACCTTGTGCCACTTTATTCACAAGAAGTGAAGCAACTGTACTGCAATCTGCATGAATGACCACATCATATGAACATTACTAACATTCCTAAGCACTGCTGATTAAAACTACAATGTTCGTTTTGGGGATTTGAAGGCCTCTCTGATGGAAACATGTAATTGCATGCAACGTGCAGAACATCTCGTAATGTCAGTTGTGCTTCAGACCGCTTCCCCGAGCTCATCTGATGACTGCAAACATGTTGAAAGAGTATTCAAAGAGAACCAAGTCAAAACTTGGTGAGGGACGTTTCTTCTGAAGATGCAAGTGAATTATCTACTATTGTCAGCATAGCTTCATCAGTATAATGTTGATTTTGCAATTGAGATCCAAACACCAAGCTGAAGCTTCTATTTGAGTCATATGACACGGTCCGAAGAATTCCCACAAAAAACGACCCGAAATCTCCTAAATTAATAATTTAAGACTTTACAAACATATTTTAGCATGTTATTTTTTCCCTTGTCTCAGTAGTGCTACTTTTCAACTTTAACAAAAAAAATCTTACATAGTGCTGCTTTAAATTATGCGTCAGCCTTCCCTTTAACTTACGTTACTCATGTCAATCAACTTTGTTGACCAACTGTTGCAGCCCTATTAAAGACATGAAAACTAATTTACAAAAATATGAATTCCAGGATCTTTCATAGCATTTTATAGGACGCACAGGATTTGAGTGGAATTTCTTATTTTACTTCCCCGCAAAGTTTGCAAAGCAGAAGTTTCAAAATTCATGCCGGTCAGATTTTTAACGTTAGTCACCAGACACCAACCACCATGTCAAACTAAGAGCAGAGAACAGAAGCTCACTTTTTAATGTGGGCCAGGGCAGTGTTGTTCACAAACAGCATGCTGGACAGGTTGATGGACGGGCCTAATGTCTTGACCAAGTTCTCCACCTCCTGAATGCCCTGTACATCTCCACGACTACCCAGGCCCTGGACCAAGCGGGTGATGGCCAGCTGCGAGGGTACCTGGTCAGCCTGAAGCATTCCCTTCAGACTAACCAAAGCATCTAGGTGTGGAAATGAGAAGAGGGAAACCAACCGTATGTTCAGTCTATTCTGCTTGCCTTTCTGTATCAAATAATTACAGCGAATGTCATTGTTATTACTTACAAAACTGTTTAGTTTATGGCTAATCGTACAAAACTTGGACTCACCTTTAAGGTTTCCATGCTTCACTTGTGTAATAATATGGAGGTTGCTGGCCAGGTCACTCAACTGGAATCCTGAAACATGTTTGGAAGCGCTGTAGGTAAGAGGGGAAAGGATGTAGATATATTAGCTGATATGAAGGTCCTGCAGATTTTGTGGCAAAACTATTGCCCATAAAGTGCCAGTATTTACTGGCTTGTCGCAGTTGAACACAAAATTTCATAAAGGGAAAAAAAAACAAACAAACAAAAACAATATAAAAGTAGAGATGCGCAGTCAGCAGATTTTACAAACATGCAACCAGCAACAGGCCAAATTTATTGCTTTTATTCTGGCCAATGTGTTGCAATTTTATGACATAAATAACGTGAATCAGGTACCTGCACTCACACTGTATTTGAATGCTGTTCCTACCCTGATGCCAAAAAGTCGTAGTATAATTAGGCATAACTTTTAATGCAGCACTTCGTTAAATTTGGTGTTTTTTTTTTAAATAGGCAACAATTTTTTTTATTTATGAATTTAAAATGCCACTTTAGCTAAAGAGCATTTGAAGAGCAAATGAAGTCATGTTGCAAATTTGGCTAATAAAAAGCACTGGAAATGTGGAAAAGTGCAGTCAGATTGTGTGTCGGGTTTAAAAAATAAACAAACACAATCCAAACAGCTTTCGGCCCAAATTTGCCTGTAATGAAACTGAAATCTGCTGAAAATTCATGTCTGGTGCATCCAAAAAATATTCAAACTTGATAATCACACTCCATATTCTAAAGCTGACGATCATTTCAGTCTGTTTAAGCAAAACTAGTGGAGTTTATCACATTTAATTATTGATGAATATAATCCATTATTGTACTGTTTAGCTCCTTAAAAGCGGTTTTATAGTAAATATTCATAATGGTTAGCCCCTAGTTATTAAGGCTTACCAGTTGGCCGAAAAACAATGAAAAACATGGTACCAGCTATATGTGCAGTGCTATGAGCAATTTGTAGGGAAAGAATTACCAGTGAAGTCAGATAATGAGTACAAATAAGACATGAGCATGAGAGGCTGAGTGTGTGCGCACATGTGCAAATCCCTGTCCTGGATCCCCTCGCTTCTTCCAGGTTTTGGCCTTTTATTTTTTTTCAACCCTCACTTGCTAAAACCTCAATCAAACTGTCCCCCCCACCCCCATCCCCTCTCTTTTTTTATTACGCTTGCTGGCCAGATTAGTCCTGCTGCCCAATTGAGCAACCGCCGCCGCTCCTTATCGCCACGGCGAAGGGCCTAGAGCAGGCTGCCCAGCAGATTGCCGCCGTAGCTGGGGTCAGACTACTTCTTATCGAGCCTGGGAAAATCCCTCTGTCCCTCTCCTCCCCTCCTCATCCGTCCCTCCAAGCAGCATGCAATCCCTCTCTCCGCCGCTCTATTCCCAATCCTCTTAATCTGCCCGCTAAGTCCTCCACTGCTCAGCCCTCAACACCCCTCCCCACCCACCCCAACATCTGCCAAAAGGCCATCGAAGTCACACTCTCTCTACCTCACACGCAGACACAATGGTTATCAGCACACTGGAGTGTTATGATTAAGCTGAGTGCAAGCAGGGTCTTATGCACTCCTCAATGGCTCGGTTTGAAAAGACTTCAGATGCTCTTCCGAATGGGGAACGATGGTCAGGCATTAAGCCTTCTCGCTTTTCTTTGTCTTTGTGCAAGCGGGTCAGTGTGTTTGGTCTACAGGCTTTAAGTGATGTCAAAAAAGACAGATCTTTTCTAAGACAAACAATAGAGGTTTATCATATTTGTGGCCAATGTATTATTTGCCAATGAAATGGAGAATTGAACTATGAATGGTTTAACATTCCTGTTATCCACAGCTAACACTACACTTCCACAACTCCTGCTATCAAAAATGTCCATCTTTTGCCACAAATGTAAAAATGTGCTGAAGGAAAGAATGTATATGTTTTAATGTAGGTGTTTAAAATAGCCACTAGCTTGGCTGAGATACAGTGATAAAGTTTGTGTACCTTTGTTCATTTAGCTCCTAGCTATGCTCAAATGTTGTCTGCATAACCTTTATTTCATCATTTCTAAGCAGAAACGCATGTTTATTCTGATCTAATGGTGATTTTTTTGCTCGTTATCCACTAAATAAAACACAGAAACGAGCACTGAAAATCTCAGGTTTGCAGTTCAAGGTTCAATACTTCATTTAAAACTGGCTCCAGGAGTGCTCAAGGAGAAAGAGAATAAGTTTTAGGATACCACTCGAGTGCATCTCAAACATCTAAGAAACTTTTCCTTAGAGAGTTTTTTGGCTGTTGGAGAACATGTGAAAGACTAGATTAGGGGTACCACTTTAGAATAAGACCACCCTTATAGAGAGATTATGAATGGTTTAAAAATAGGTTATTAAATGGTTATTAATCAGTTCACACACACCTTAAAAGTAATTAATAAGCAGTTACAACACACAAATAAAAAGGGAAATGGTGACTTGTTTGTCTAAACAGTAAACACATTCATCTATGCTGTAAAAGCTCAGATGTTGCTGGTTACTGATCTTTGTCTTTTTCATCAGTCAGTGTTAAACCTGTCAGCTCTATCTCATTCATGCTCATCAAATATAACAACTCACTTTTGCCCTTCTTATTAATGTGTTAATCAAGGTGTTTGTTAATTAAGGTGTTTGTGAACTAATTAAAAACCATTAAAACTCATTTCAAACCAAGGGTACTTTTATTTTAAAGTGCTACCAGAATAGGCTCTGTAGGATGTGCAACATCTTGCAAAAAGAAGCAGTCCTGGACTCTGGTGACCAGCATTAAAATTTCCTAGTTAAAAATCTGGAATCAGTGTCAGCCACAATTATCTGTTATTCTATAATCAGTGCATCCCTAATAAACAATGTATAGCACTAAGAGAAAAGGCTGTGTAGAAATGAAACACAGCAGAGGCTGGAGAAACAGATCTATAACAATTCTTGTTTCATCCAAGTTCATGCAGAGAGAACGAAGGGGGTGACGACTTTTCTTTATGAGAACATATTGAGCACTACAGAGATCTACAGCATTAAACCCTTCGATTCAAAGAGCATCTTGCATAAAGTGCAGAACAATCCCTGCTTCCATTTACACTAATACAACACTAAAGATCTATTACTAATCAGAAGAAGACTGTCATTTCTACGTCTAGCCAAGCTTTTCTGAGAACAAAGAGATTATCTGGCTCCATGGACGACTTAAACTGCTCTCTCTGTGTATGCGAGTGAGAGAGACAGTGAAGAGTGAGATTAGGGGCAACTATTCATTTCAATCACGGAAGATTCCCCAAGAAGGAACACAGCGTACAATAACTAAGACAATGACCCCTAACCTGCGTGTGACAGTGAGAGGCAGTTTAATGTGCATTTGAAAGAGAGAGAAAGAGAGAGACGAAAGTGAGAGAGAAGAAGAGAGGGGGGAGGGCATGACAAAAAGAAAGACAAAAGGGCAGAGCGGGAGTGCAAATCATCTTATCAATGACGCAGCTCTGTACGAAAAATGCATGAGAGCACAAAAAACAGCATGATGGCAAGAAAGACAATGGATGACAGAAGTAGACTCACATGTTTTTGACTGCTAAGGCATCCTCCAGGTTGCCTGAGGCCAGCAGGGCCTTGATGAGCGCATCGTATGAAGCAGGTCCCAAAGCCATGCCCTTCCGGTCCGCCTCCTTCAGAATATTAAAGGCCTCTGTAGGGAGAAGATATGCTGATTAGAGGGAAAAAAGTAGAGGTGCACCATTCCAACTGTTTCTCTCGATACAACTCAGAATACTGTCCAAGTACTGATCTGATATTTTTTCTCTTTACACCTCATACCTTTCCAAAACATGATATCCATTTTAAGAATTATTAGCAATTACGGTTTTTTAAAATGAGGCACACTGGATATGTATTTCATACTCAACCATATTCATCCGATCTATTTTGGGGATAGCGAGTCTAACTGATCACTGTAGACAAATTAACTATCACATAATCTCAATATCACTCACAAAATCTGACAGTTTTAATGTTTTAGCCTACACTGAGTTGAATTAAAAATGTAAAAATCTCTTATTTCTCTCATTCTGGATCTGCTGTGTCATGCTTTGTTAAAAGGGCCTTTTATTTGGACATGCTGCAACACTTTTTAGAGAAACAAAAAGTGCCAACTAAGACTCGTTTCATCTCCTTAAACAAACCTGTAATGTGATCATTCATAATTATTATCTGTATGTAAAGCTTTCAGTCCCATTAATAAAAACAAAGTGAGTGTATATGCAACTGTATCTAAGAAAGTGTATCAGTAGTGCAATGGTCAAGTCTGGTTGATACCTGACCCATTTTTTAAGTCCAGTGGTGCATCTAAATAAATAAATAAATAAATAAACAAACCTTTTGACAAACAGATTTTCTAGGGATACACAATGATGTTATATTCAGTGCCAGCAGACAACACCTTAAAATTGTCTGCCTTGTTTAGATTTGACTGATATTTCAAACTGAATTTTATCATGTTTTAATTCCCATATCCATGCAATCCTAGTATGTCCATGTCATTGAAGATTTTCATCCTAGTATTGCCATGTCATTCACCTGTCTCAGCAAAGAATTAAACACCGAAGGAGCTAAGAACAGGGGTAAGCCCTTCAACATATGCATAACAACACTCACAACAGCCACAGTATGAACCAGATTTTAAGCATAAGAGCAGCAAAATATAGGAAACAGATAAATATCTATTTACACCATTTACAATAATTACTGGAGCCAAAATAAATAGTAAGGAGATTTTCAAGTGGTAGAATCATAAATAAAAATCAGCGCTAACATGTAAAGGTCATACCTTGGACTTTCCCTTTCTTGCTGAGAGTCATCACTCTGAGGTGATACTCAGCAGCAGAAGCCTCTTTTGGAGGGGAAACCCTGGAAGCACTCTCCCCTCTGGCCACCTCAGAACTATCTTTGGCTTCATGTTGCTCATACCACACCTGCACACACAGAGGACATACACCTGTTACACTGAATGTGCTGCTCTTATTGGCACAAAAAGAACAAACAACAGAAAGAAACAAAAAGGGTGCATCTCATTTCTGTGTGCATGTATCTAATTTAATGAGTAAGCAGGCTGCAGTGTGACTGCTCTACCACTCAACATGGAAACAGCATTACGCCACATGGCCCTCTGGGTAACTGTGTTTTCATCACTACACTCCATCCATGGCATACAACAGGCCAAGTCCTCAAACAGCCAACATATGGAGGCATTTAGACACTGTGACCTTGTGTCTGCATTAACTGCAGGCATTAATTCTGGGATTTTGTTAGCATCATCCTAAAATCCAATTACATCTTTTAATGCAAAAAGCGAGGATTAAGAGCCAAGCTGACGGCATAGCCAGCGTGTATATCTTAGTGTAGTAGAGCTTGGAACATCTGGGATCGGACTGACTGTTCACGTCAGATTTGGACAGCTTCAGACATCATTCCTCAAACGTCCCATCAGGCTCAGGTCAAGTTCAAATGTCATGTTTGAGTTTCTCATAATCCATTTCCCACCTAAACGGTAATTCCAATGATTTTTCTAAATGTCTGTAGAATTTGATAGTTGAAACAAAGTCATTCAGAGTGGTTTGATGTCAAATGGCTGTGGAACCATTGTGTGAAATAGTAAATAAACTTGACATAAACGAATCAGGGGTTATTGATGTCTACAACACAAATATAGTCATTATATTTACTATCCAAAATGACCAATAAATCTACATGTCCTCTGGCTTTCATATGTAATGTCCATAATAAAAAATTAGTGGTAAATTTATGGGGGTGGAAATTGTGTAATGGCTTTCTGTGAGAGAGATTTTAGAGGCATTAAATTCTTCATACATCTTGTTCCTATCACCACTACTGTGAACAACTCTGACAAATTTCCTCTAGAATGGTCACATCAAACCACTCTACATGACTTTCAACTTAATTTAGTTATGAAAAGAATCGGTATAATCCCCCTTTAACAAATTGTGGCTTGCATTTACGCTGCTTTCATTTTTCTCCCTATTTGACTCCCCTACTTCCTCCTTCCTTCAAACAATTCTTAATCTGAATTAATTAATCTTAATCTGACATTCTGGAGTCACTGTCTTCGTTAGGAAGAAGATCAACCAAGCATGCTTCATAATAAAACATAGCTTTTTCAAAATACAAACTTCTGGAATGTTGTTTGAAGTAGAGGTCTGCACAACATGGTTTCACCTACAGGCCCCATGTAATCTGCGAGATAATTTTGGGACGGGATTAATTTTAAGGCACTGCGGTCATAGTGAGTTTGATGAAAGGGGTGTGCTTAGACAGTTTTTGGTTACTTGTTTAAGCAGATGGATGGGCAACAGACACGCTGCATGAGTGCCACAGAACAAAATGCGTTAGTAATTATCATGTAATGCATAATTTACACTTAAAATCTAGCTGCATTTAAACACTAGATTTTGCAGAAGTAAGTGGACTTGATACACACTTGAAGTGTGTGGGTGCTGGCATTAAAGGGCTCATATTATACATTTCTTCATGTATTTCATTTTTTTGAGCTTCATTTATGATGTTTGTGTAGGATTTTGTGCCAAAAACTGTCATAATTTATATTTACACGGCCATTTTATTATAGTTAATGCTGATCTAGGTAAACACCTTCTGTTCTGACTAGCTGCCCTATACTGCATCTCACTCAAAGGGCAGTCCAGGCTGAAACACTCCATATAACTTGAATGTAAATGGGTGGGGCTACAGTGCTGTAGACTGAATAGGCAGATATATGTAAATGCAATGGTTTTCATGACATCACAGAAACAATGAAGTCCAAATGTGCTGTTTATACAGCTTAATTTGGCAGCTGAACATACAGACATGATTATGTACTACATCAAACTTTTATTTAAATTAATTTTTCCATGATGGGGGCTCTTTAATAATTAAAGCCATGCAGACCTCTAATTCAAAAAACTCTTGGAAAAAGTGGAACTGAAATCAAATTCTGGATAGTTGTTGACTAGGCTAATTTTTTTATCATGGTTACTGATATGACAACTGCTGCCATAGTTAATGTCACACTGTTGCTATGATAACGGGCGCTACCTTTAGGAACGTGGAGATTTATTTTAGTCTCACACTGGTAGTGGTCACTGGGTTTGTGTCATGCTCAGATGCTAAACTTGGTGCTGTGGGTGGAGTCAGATTAGGTTTGGAAACAATGTTTTCAGGCTGCATACAGGTTCAGACAGAATTTGGGGCCTAAGTAAAGCTCTGCTGTGTAGCACTGGACAAGGCTACTGGGTTATTTTACCTCAGGCACCTCAAAGGGAACCTCCTGGTTGTTGCTCTTGAGGATATCAGCGAGCAAGCGCAGGGTCCGTTCTCTGGGAATAACGTTCTCCTCCTGCATCTTCGTCCACACTGCCTCAGCCTTACGCCAGTCATTTGTGTCCTCTGGAGAAGAAAGGGTAAGAGTGCTGTGTGGGATCCCATGTGGAATAATCACGTACATGCACACACCTGCTTCTACACTTCTCCAATCATTCTGGACCTGATAAAATCTCAATTCTGAAACCTGCTTACTCCCTTAACGCTCCAAAGAGGGAGGCAGCCTCATATGTCCACTATATAATAAAAGAGTGGCACGTTGGAGAGACCACTCACATGGACAGGAGCGAATACTCCCGATGCATCAAAAACATGCACATACTGTGGAACAGGTGGTTGGAGAGAGACTGCACTAGTCAGACTGTAGAATAGAAGATGAGACCTAGGGATGCAACAATAAGTTGTTGACAATTTTGATCAAGCAAAGAGGATTCTACTCTTTTGTCGAAACTACTTAATTCAACTGTTGAGATGTTGATAACTCAGCATATTCAATGTGAAATGGTGCATCACAGAGGTACAATGATAGTAAACAGTAAACCCTTAATGTGTTATGTGAGTTTTATACGTAATGTTAATAATGATAAAACAGTTGTAAACCTGAGAAAAACGTTTTCCGTTTGGGTATAATTTAGCTTTGCATGTACCTCTTCACCATGAATGGATTTTAAAAACATTTTGGGCCAGACAGCAGGGTGGTGCACACTGAGTGCTGGGATAGGCTCCAGCACCCCCCGTGACCCAGATGGTTTAGATCTTTATTATCTTTATTATAAAATTATGCCTTTTTTTTAAACTTGGAATTCCCCTTTAAACAAAAGTGCCTACAAACCTGTATAATGTTTATACGACATGTGGTCACTCCAATAACATGCCTGATGTATGGACCAATAAAATGGTTCAAAATTGGAATAAAATCCCGAAAAGTACTCTTTACTGACAGCCGAGTAAAGCTCAAATTAAATACTCAAATTAAACGTAGATATTTTTCAAATATGGGTCTGGAGGTGATTCCCCTGAGGGAGGGTAGTGAGTGAGATTCACTGCATCGAGCAGGAGTTTCTCTTTCTGTTTGCCTCTCAAAAAATAAGCACACTCACAAACACACACACAGACAATCTCTCTGTTGGAAGCTATTTCCAACCCTCAGTTTCATGCTGGGAGAATAATCAAGTGCTGAGAGGCTAAATGTGTGTCTGTGGGCCTCTGAGACTTCACTTCTATTAGACACACATACACAAATATACAGCAGATGCGCAGTGCTGCTCCACTGAAGGGGAAACGACCAACGTCTTGCACATACATAGATTTTGCACATCAGATTGATTCACTAACCTCAGCCTAGGGATGGGCGATACGGCAAAATTCAGCAAAAGTGTTTACATGCTAAATGTACTGACAATATCCGCAAACTGTTCAGAAACACTACTTTGCTGTAATTTATCATGATAGCGATAAAATATTGCCATTTTGCCCACTGCCCATTGATTTAACTCCCATTGATTTGACGTAATTCTCAGTAACTCTGTATATTTTGGTAACAAAAAAACTTACAAATCACTTTGAAAGTTCTCATTGCAAACACAGGTGTTCTTCAGATCATTCTGTTTCTTCTTTTAATGACACTAAAGTGACTTGCATGCTAACAGCACCCCCAGGAGACCCTTCAGACTGCTAGACAGGGAGTCACATGCTTTACACATGCTTTACCACAACACGGTATTTTCCATCAGTATACCAGAGTGACACTGGAATCAGCTTTAGATGTGTTTTGTTCATTTTACAACTTCTTAATTTTGTAAGTTTTAATATTATGTAGCAAAGAGTTTACGTTTTGTAGTTTCTGTTCTCTTTTTCAACATTGCCATTATGAATGCTATTGCTATTATACATGCCTTTAAAGCATTATCAGCATATCGTCGCAGTCTAAAGAAAACCATGTATTTCCATTTTAGTTGATTTTTAGTTTTCTGCATCATTTGAACACTGTTGCTGTCCTTTACACTGTGTGAAAATTTCATGATGAATGGAGAAATAGCAATGCTCTAAAATTACTTAGAATAAAATATCTTTATATCGACTTACATTAAAAGTAAAGAACATTTTGCCCTCTCTTGTAAAGTTACCATTTGGGAGATACTAGTTTTTCACTGCACAGCAATATGTTACATGTATTCAAACGTATAAATAAAATAGCATTTTATATATAAAATAGCTAATTCTTTCTATTTTTGTTTTTTAATTTTCGGCTGAGTGTGTCTTGAATTTTAGTTTTAAGAATTTTCATTTCGGTGCATCAGTAATTTAAACACACACTTACTGCAGAGGCGGAGCAGGTAGTGGTACATCTCATCTCTGTCGCACTCAAACAGCTTTGATGTCATATCCACCATGTTCTCCAGAGCCTCCATCTACAGAAGGAAAATGACACATTGAGTTTTAGTACATGATTGTATAGGAGAGTGTGTGTTTATAAGTGAGAACATCTTACCTGCTGGCCTGTAATGCACTTCTCTGCAAACCACTGCAGTCTGCCAGGTCTTGCTCTTAAACCAGGAGTCTGTGAAGGAGAACAATTCAGCACAACTTTAAGAAAAGTACATTCCTGGCTTGTATCTGCAACTACTGTAACAAAAACAAATCTCTCACAGGTGAAAATGATTCTTATTTAAGAGCAACCAATAGGACTTCAGAATATATAACTGATTTATGCACCATTTTAGAATGTACTTCCTGTAAAAGCCATGACTCAACATTAAAGTTTACATGGATGACCAACCAGTTTTGGTGTTTTATATATATATATATATATATATATATATATATATATATATATATATATACACATACATACATACACACACACACACACACACATATATATATCAACGTTACGTCTGTGCATGAGACGAGGTGAGGCCATGTGCATGTTTATGCTTGCAGATACTGCGAAACAAGTGAAATATACTATAAATTTGAACATTTCATTATAACTTATATAATTATATAACTTAGTTACGCCATGCGTTGACTTTAAAAATGGCAACCTTATTGTCTTTTTCAGGTAAACAAAACTTGCTGCCTTAAACTTAACCTTGAGCAATGAAAACGCTGCTGTGCCTAAACACTCATACCAGCACCACACACTCTTAAATTTTCACTAGCTCATCACTGCTGTGCTGAGAATAGTCCACTATCTAAATAATATCTGGTTGCTGGTGGTTCTATGGTGCCCCCTTTCTACTGATGGCTAGGGTAGAGGGTGGCTGACAAACTGTACAGCAACAAATGTGCTACAGTCAGTAACTGTAAAACTGCAAAGAGCACCTTTATGGCAGGTACACCTGGTTAAATGAAAACAATTGACAAAATCATACTGATATTAAGAAATAAAACTGGTGCACATACAAAACAGAAAAGGCAGAGAGGAGTGACTGGGATGTCTTCTGTGCTTTAGTCATACTAAGGCTGAGAGGCCTTTCTTAAACTCTCTCTCTCTTTCTCTCAATCTGTCAGAGCACAAGATCCTCATCCCTCAAGACTGCTGTCCTCTCACAATATCATACTAGTGGCATCAAACAGCACCAAAGCTGGAGAATTATATTCTTACACAACAGCCCCTAGGACAAATTAAAATTCACTCTTCCCCCTCTCTCCCGTAATCTTCTTTAGAGGAGTTCAACTGCTATGAAGTCCCTTTTTTGCTACTTTCTGCTAAAAATGTTCCATCAGCCTCCAGGCCTGTTGCCCAGCCTGGGCCAAATCTCAGAGCAAATCCAGAATGATGAGAACCTCCCCCTCCAAGAAAACACACGACACTATCGTGTCACTTGGATGGCTGACCAATCCTCAAAAGAACAACTAGGTCAGATCATTAAATCTGTGGTCTGCAGGAGTAAGACGCACAAACATGCATTAACCCAACACACGTCTAAGCATGGGCTTCTCAAGCCCTCGTGCACACAGACACACACACCAAGTCTACTAGATACAGATTTGGGTTCACAACACTATACAGTGTTATTTGTTTATAAGCAATTAATTAACAATGTGTGTTTAATAATGTCGTCCATAGTCTCTCTTTGGAGTGGTCAGAGAAAAGAGAAAAACTAATGCAGACCCCTACAGTACTGTCCAAAGGTTAGAATCACTTGTCATATTAATTATTAAAGAGTTGAAATCCAAAATGCTGCATATCCATTTGTAACAACATCGCATATAAGCTTTTGAAAAGAATTACAACAGAAACAAAATGGAAAAAAAAATGGTTGCTGTAATGAAGGTGGTATTAATATAGACATAGACTAATTTCTTGTATGTATAAAGACCACCCTCAATAACGTATATCATGAATAAAAAATGGAAATTATTAAAAGCAGTCTATAACACACTTTAGAATGAAACCCTTCAATTACTGTTATTTTATTCAATAATAACTTCAACAGACTGATACTACCTTACAATACTGTAAGAGAACAGTTCCTCAAACTTATGTATTCTCATAAAAATGACCAATTAATCAATGCTAATCAAGAAGGTAAAATTTAATCCATTTTCTAATCAAGTATTTTTGTAATCAAGAATTTGCACTTTATCACAGAACTGTGACAGCCCTACTTCTTGTAATGAACAGTCCTGCATCTATTGTGTTTCCTTCCTTCGGCTGTGAAGCTCGGTCATTACTAAAAGTATTCTCATCTAATTCATACCTTGCAACCTTGCAGTAAAAAAAACAGGCACACACAGTCTCAACACAGGTCACACACTCTCCTGAGCAGTTACACATCGCTTTCCTTTAGTGCTGCTACACAACCATCTTAATTACACCAAATCGTTTACATTCGTTTCACTTAATTACCTGCTATTATTAATAATCTCACAATTACACACAACAAAATCACCTGCAGAGCACTCAATCGCTGCACTTACAGCCCCTATCCGGGCCACAACTGATGTCTGCATCTGCCAATGCTACTTAGATATCACTGCTTTTAATTAGCCAGTGGAAAATTGAGGAGTGGCCCTATATTAAATGCCACATCCTGGTCAAACAAAAGGGGCTTTTGACCCTGCGGTCGGCCATGAGGAGACCACTCCTGGTTCTGCTAAATGAGCCTCCATTAGCGCAAATGTTGAGAGCGTTTATGTTTTAAGGGGTGGGAAAAGTTCAGAGATGAAAACAGTAAGGGGACTACACCTTAGAGTAAGCTAGGAGTAGAACTGGTAACTGGCTTTCATTTAGGTTAAAGTGGAATTCCACCTTTTTTTTTTATTTCTCCATCATTAAATGTTTAAAATGTAAACACAGTCATTCAGAGTGGTCTGGTGTGAAAGACTCCTTTCTAGAGAAACTTAACGAGTCAGTAAGTCATAATTCACAGTAGTGGTGACAGGAACCAGACGTCCACCTCTAAAAGCTCCCTCACAGAAAGTCATCACATGGAATAGTTATGCATACACTGCCTGAGACATTGTTTTAGGATAGTTTTAAAATATACTTTTAGCATCAAGATTATTTTTCCATTTATTCATGGTGGAGGGGTACATGCAGGCTGTTGTAACGCAAAGTAGTCCCCAAAGAAAACTTATGCTGTGTCCAAAATACTACCATACTAAATAATGTGTTAAAACTAGTACGTCACCTTTAGAAGTGCATTCAGTAGTTTAGAGTATAGAGTATGGTAGTATGCAGTTTTGGACACAGCTTTAGTTTTCCAGTCTTCCCACTGTTACACAATCATCAAGATTCCGTATGAAAGCACAGATGACACGTGTAGGTGGTTTTGGATAGTAAATAAAATGGCTATATTTGTGATTTGCACAATGAACAGGAGTGCACAGAAAAATCTGAGCTTAAACTTCTCAAACTTTTAAAATTCTCTCCTTAGTTTTCCAGTTTTGCCCACTGTTTCACCATCAACATTCCCCATGAAAGCTCAGAAGACACATGAAGGTTCACTAGTGGTTTTGAATAGTAAATAAAATGGCTATATATGTGTTGCAGACATACCGATTCCTGGTTCCTATCAGCACCACTGTAAAGAAATCACGAGTAACTTTTTTTTTTTTTAACCAAATTACTTTCAGCAATGAAACCGGTCTTACGACAAGTATTTTTCAGCAGTGGTTTCAATATTACAAATGGATTTTTACAATCATAGACGTACAATCCACCAGCCTCTTAACACTAATCCAATGAAATCAGGCACATCAATGGATGCTAATCGTTCACTTGTTTCATGTTAAAAGTATCCAACTGCTCAGTGACGCACATGACCTGTTGAGGTGCACAGCATGGGATCAATCTTCCTCCACCAGCAATACATAAACCCCCTCGGCCATACTTATATTCAGGGCAAAACTAATACGCTAAGGCTCTAAGAGAGATTGACACTTGAATCCTAAACCATCAAAGAGGCAAAGCTGCTGGAGAATACAGCGTCCTTAAGTGACCATCGATAGCTTATCGGCTGGAGTAATACCCAAGAGCCAGGCAGGAGGAATTATCATGATCCGGTGTATATTGAAACAGAAGCCAAATGGCATCGCCTAGATCCCTCAGAACTCTGTGTAGCATGGCAGACAGCATCTTAGCTTGTTCACCCAAAGCCCCTTACTGATGGAGCTTTTAATACACAGGCTCAGGTCTCTGCCAGACTATTGGAAAAGTAATACAGAACAAAGGCCTAACGGTATGACGAAAAAGGCTCATATAGGTACACATTTACACATCAGTGCTGCAAAACGTGGACAAAACTCTACATTGGAATTATATTACAACTATAGTGGCAACAAATATTTGACAAAGTTGACTACATCGATTATAAAATTTGTTCATGTGGATTTCACTACTGATGCATTATTTACTAAAAATTACTAAACAATATTTAAAACTAAGGAAGTGTTTCACAGAAGCACAAAAACAATGAATAAATGAAACAAAAGCACCAGGCGGCAGATTCACGACAGTTTTCTTTAGAAAAAACTTAGATTCTTAAGACACTAAGAAGTTCATTCAAAGAACTCTCTGCATGATTCTGTAGGGTTCTTTGCATTGTAAAATGACTCTTCAGACTGATGCAGAATGTGCTACAGACAGTTCTATATAGAACCTTTTCGAAAAGGGTTCTTCTGTTGTTACAAGCTTGAAACTGTAACAATTGAAGAACCCTTTTGGGTGCTATATTGAACCATTTTCAAAAAGGTTCTATATAGAACAATCTACAGCACATTCTTCATCAGTCCAAATAACTCCTTTACAATGCAAAAGAACCTTTTAATCATGCAGAGGATTCTTTGAGTGCTCATGGTTCTATACAGAACCATTTTCTTTACTCTTTTCTTTACACTCTTTTTTAAAAGTGTAGAGGTGACTGAGGACAAAACAGCCAACAGGGGAGAAAATTCGGTAGTTGCGAGGGACGAGGATGAGGAGCAGCAATAGGCAGCGAATGAGTTTGATAAATTTAGATGATCACCTCAACTCAGCCTGAGATGAGTGCAAGTCCAACGTAAGTTTAAGAACATACCTAAGAACAATGTTTTCTAGAATAACACTTGTTCTTAGAATTATCCTTAAGCTAGGAGTTAAGAAAAAACGAGAAAAGTTATTTGAAGAAAAACAATTTTCGCGTCCCTTTTTTCTTCAGAACGAAGTTAAGACAAAAAAAAAACACATTTAATAAGATTTTCTTTAAGACACTTTCTTGAATCTGGCCCCAGATTCCTAAAAGGTTTTGTGCTCCTGCTGACGGAAGTGGTTTAGCTATGTAGTCTAGATGGCTAATATCAGCCAACTAAAGGTAGCGCTGGGCTACATATTAGAAAACCATGGGGAGATGAATATTTCAGTGACGTTAAGTACAGTTAGTAAAAGTTGGTAAAATTAATGCCACGCTGAGCAATTCAAACGAAATTCACTATTTAGCTTCTGGCTAAAGAGCACTGGTGCTCCTAATCTGAAATGAACAGGTGCACACAGAAAAAAAATCTGAGCACCATCTTAACATGAACTTCTTAAAATTCTCTCTTCTTCCTTTATCCTCCTGTCAGTCAGAGACGATGTTTAATTTCGCAATCAGATTATTCCTATATCTGTCCAAGCTCTTACCTTCACAATACCTGAACAACATTAGAATCATTTTCAGTCATTCAGGATTTATTATCTTCTTTTCTTGTAGTTTCCTACATTTCATCTGTGTTCCTGTCTTTTAGTGTATGTTCTTGTAACTTTGGTCTGCAAGTCTGTTTGCTGGACAGGTGTTTCTTACTGTAATATCTGGATAGTTTCACATTTATTGAAATAGTTTTTTTTATGACAACACATTGTGGTGTCTGTTAATAAGACTTGCTGAAATTAAAGGATAGTTAATCTTGCTAATCTGGCTAATTTGGGAATTTAAAAACTGTCAACGTTACTGAAAATCTGTTTTAGAGAGACGGTACTCACTGGTAAACTGAGCCAATTGATCTGACCGCCTAAAATTGTGAGAATACCCTCCACTGGATGTGTGTATGTGCAGCCCTGATGCTACAACCTTGACAGCAAAAAGCATTTTCCCCTAGTTTTAATTTCTCAGTGCTGTTAAATTAAACACTCCATTCAGGAGATTTTTCCCGTTGTATAGGAGGGCCATTTAACCGCTGTTTGTACAAACTCTGTAACCACTGAGATTCACATTCACTGACGTGAGACGTCACACAAGGCACAAGACAAGTCTTACAATAAAATCAGTAGCTATCTAAATGAATTTAAATTAAACCGTTAGACAGCTACGCAGGTTAGTTTGGCAAGATAAGTAGCATTTAAGGCCAGCTGCACAGACTGTTAAAAAAAATCTGCACATTTGTATTCATGCATAATGAAGTAGTTGGCTACTGGGGTCAAAATCCATTCTCTCATGGATGCTCGTAAATCAAAATTCTGGTCACATTTTTATTTTTTTTAAGAAGGAATAAAAAGCATTTGGCTCACACCGTAGTGTAATAATAAAACCAGACCAGCTGATTAGTCAAAAAAGCAACAGCATAACCTGTTACAGAAGTAAATGTTAACTGCAGCTTGAATTGTATCACACTGCAACTCAACACATTAAAATTATTATTACTAATTATTAGTTATCCCTTAATGTGAGTTAGTTGAAGATTGGCCTGTAACATTTTTGACTAAAAAGATTTAAGTTTGCTGGGTCACTGGAATGCCTTGATTCATTCAAACAAGCATAGAACCAGAAACTCTTTTGGAGTGAGTGAGACTGGTCAGGATATTCATAGCACACAATAAAACATTAAGCTACTGGCTCATTTACACACTGCAGCACTTAGAATCGTGATGGTCAGTATCATGATACTAAACAAATCATGTATTGTGCAGCCCTAACCAGTATATACAAACAAGGACACACAGTGTTGATAATGAGAAGCACCAAGAGCTATCTGAGTGCTAACAGTGCCCTCTGTGAAGAATCTTCATCTGTTAAATGTGAGTGAATGAGTGTGTAAGTGACTGAGTTAAAAGGCCGGCCCATGAAGTGCTTTGCATCTAAAAATCCACCTTTATAAGAAGCCTACCCCCCCTCAAAAAAAATGCACACTGAAAAGACAATGCATGTAGTTGAATCAGCAGAAGCAGCTTCCTGACTGGCAAGTGGACCAGGTCCCGCACGGCACCACTGAAAGAGACTAGTAGTGTTGAATTAGAATGCTTGGCTAATTGAACATCTAAATGCCTTTGTCTAGGCCGCTTCACATCGAACGGAAGGACTCATGAGACTTTTCTGTCTGCAGAAAGACATCCTTCAAAACTCTTCATAAAAGAAGTGCTCAAAAGACATTAGGCATCTCAAAATCAGTCGTGTACTGGAAAGAGCTCTGTGAAGCTGAAGGACGTGACATGGGAGTGGACGGAAGCAATCCCACCAGACTATTAAGAACAAGCACAGTATGCAAGAAAAATCCATTTGCAATGTGCTCATCTTACTAACAGCCCATAGATACAAGCCTGGGTAAGACTTTTTGTGTGGACTGTGTATGTAGCTTAATTACATAAAGTTTTTTGTCAGACATTTTTTTTTGGTCATTTTTTCCAATTTTCTACACAAAGTAGTAACACTGAATTCCACTGGATAGCTCTCCCCAGATCACACAATACCACGAGTGCTCGGAGGGTGAAGGCTAGCACATCCTCCGAGAAATGTAAAGCCCGCCACTGCATCTTTTAGAACTGTTGCTAATGCAGCAACAGTGGACAGCTAAAAGCTCAACACAATTGGAGGAGAGCAGTAACCGCCACTTTTGCCAGATCCTGGCCACGGATGGTCATCTAACATCTTACCTTATGTTGGCGACTAAAATATAGGGAGAAGTTTATTTAAAAAAACATAAATAAATAAAAAAGCATCCCGTGTCCCTTTGCATATGACTGTATACACACCTATTTAATCCTAGTCAATGTTTATTAGCAATTCTTCTGTCAACACAAACCACAAAACAACTACTACTATAATAATTATAGTACTGCTATAACTACATACTGTCACAAATACATAGTAGCTTAAGGCCCCCTGGTGCCAAAGAATTGCTGTGCGAGTGAGCAAGTCTCATTTGTGAACACCTGAGACACAAAGATGAACACCTCTTACTGAAATTCAGTAAGGTGCATCTGTTCGTGTTGCCTCTTTTATAACCACATACACTGTTCTCCTCTCCACCTGCTTGCTTTTCTGTGTGGTATGAATGGCGTCAGTTGAGCTTTGGGCCCAATGTAATTTAAAATCTGTGCGGCAGTAATTAAGCGTCTTAAATAGCTGTGTGCTTCGGACACAATAACGGCAGTCCCACCTCAATGATTTTGCGTGCTTCCCTGTAGCGGCCTGTCTGCATGAAAGCGAAGAAAAGGTCGTACAGCATCGTCATCTCGCCACGCTCCTGGCTCACGAAGTCCATGGCTGCCCAGAGAAACAAGCAGAGAGAGGAAACACACACATACACACTTATGAGTACATCAATTGTAGGAACTCTTTTCTCCAGTGGTTTTTGTCGCTGCTCTCTTTCTGTGGCGCTAAGTCGGCAGGCTCAGGCTGTGCAAACTTCTTCAAAAGAGCAGCCTCAGCAGCGCAGCACTCAATGCAATCACACTCAATCAGGCTGCAGCTAGGTGTGCTGGTGTGTGTGTGTGAAGGAGTGTGAGTGAAGGTGTGCACATGTGTGAGTGAGAGACAGAGAGGGGGAAGCCTTCAAGCTTGAATAAAAACCATGCCTTCACATACTGGGCAGGAAGCGTGCGGGTATTCACGTGTGTTCATATGTCCAGGGTGATGGGGGGCATTTCAAATTGCTTCACTTGCATGCAATACATACTGCCCACTCATACAATGGAAGCCTTGTGCTGTACTTCACTTCAATCTGACAGTGATTGCATCTCAATACAGTGAACAGAGCAGGGAGATAACTCTACAAGGCTGAACTGATCTGCTCTTAGACTTTCTAAAGCCTGCTATTCATACTACACACACTCTGACTGGGTCACTTAAAGTGGACTCATGCTTTTGTGTGTGTGTGTTTGGGGAGTGACTATGGGCCTGTTGTGTGTCTAGACAAGAGTGGATAAGGTTATGCGGAGGGAGGGCTCCGGGTGCTGATGAGTAGAGTGGTCCTCCACCCCAGCCAAAGGTCTTACACCCTTACTCTCCAAACACACTCAGCACCAAACAAAAAACATGAAGCCCTCTCCATGCCCCCTACAAGGACACAGACTATTAAAAACATGATCGTATAGGTCCTTCAGCTTGACCCACAGCAGCCCTGCGATGTCTCTCTGCTTCTTTCTCTCACACACACACTTCATGTGACCATGTATCAGAGTGGACATGAAAACTCATGAGTAGTGAAAAAGGTGACAAGTTCAGAAACCAATTCGCTGTCACGGTGCCCAGTGGCATCATGTGCAGGACAAACTTTTTAGTGATTTTAACATGGATTTCTGGTGTATTCTCAGACAAAAATACAGGGGTAATTGCAGTGGAACTATTTACTTAAATGACCAACAACTACACAAATAAGAGACGCGCTGAAAAATTGTAGTTTTGTGATATTCTGTTACAAATCAGGATTAAAGTCAATGAGACCCATTATAAATTATAAATAAGAGCGACTTACAATTTGATCATATTACACAGGTAGGTGAACGGAGTGTTAGGAGTCCTGCCCAAGGACTCTTATTGGTATAGCATAGGATGTAGGGGATCGAACCCCAGTCTACAGCGTGGGAGGCAGAGATGTTACCCACTACACTACGTGAAACTACAGTTAAAAGCTAGACAGTCGCTTAGCTCTCAGGAAGCTGAGTGTTTTCATCACAAATGATAATTAACAAAAACTTTTTACCCACTGTTCAAAACATACTGACGAAAGAACTTCAGCACTCTGAAAACGTGGCTCTCTTTTCGTGTTTCAGTAACATTATCATAGGCCTGACAGGGCAATAAAAAATATCTTTTGGCAGCAGAAACTTTTTGGAAATTAAAAACTTAAAATCGACACGATTCGTGTGAACAGTACATTCAGCATTTAAAACGGTGAATTTTGCCAAAAGGTGACACGTTTGCATGTATGAGGACTTATTTCTCTTCACATTTCCTACTACGTGATACACAGTCCCATGTATCGGTGTACCAGTCTCAATTTTTCCCTTAAAAACCAACTTTAATACTTGAACTCAGTATAACGGCCAAATATCAATCTGATATTCTTGTCTTACCTTTCTGCAGTAACTCAGTATCTCCTTTCTCCACAAGGCCACTGATGATGTCGTGGATTCGTGGAAGTTGTTTGTACAGTTTATGGCTCTCCATAGTAGCTTCCAATGCTCCTGTCAAGTCCCCACTGATACATCACAAATGCGCACAAACACACACACACACACACACACACAAACACACGGCCATTAATCCTTCAGTCTAGACTAACGTTTCTTAAGCATTAAGACCACTGCTTCTCTTAGAAAACTTTAAAAAGTGTGTTGCATAGATTGCTGGCAACAAGCTTCACAGGCTACAAGCATTCATGAGTGTAGCACTCATGATCCTTTATGGGATACTGCTGCCAGCGACCACTTCCTTGCCAACCACCGGCAGTTAAAAAACAGGCCTAAAATTTTTTACTTTGTTTACTTTCTGAAAGAGCCCAACTTTGGCGTTTTGATGTTTACAAAAAGATGGCCATTTTAGTCACTGCAGTCATTGACAGGTCAGCTGAGCACTGAACTGACATCAAAAGACAGGCAAGTACACAAAAATATCCTAAATAAAACAGCAAGCTTTGTCGAGGATAGTAGCTAAGTAGCTTTGGCAGTCGTAAAGTACATTAAAAGCAGCTGGTGTCATTATATGATGGTGTTGAAATGTAATAGTACACTTCAATTGTGAAGACACGTGACATTTAATGGTGCAGGAGTGGTGGCTTGCTATTAGAATGGATGTAGCAATGTTCATATGTCAACTCCTTAATGACCTTGCAATTCAGAGGATCCAGTGACAGTGTAAAAATGAATACAGGACAAACTGTACTGGGCTTGGAAACTGTGTATCACAGGGTGTGATAGCGGTGATTTTCAAAAATCTCATTCATTTCTGACCTCAGGGGTCTATGTGGCTTGGAGGAACAAAGCTATTTATCCTTGTATGACTGGCATCTGGCACCTGAAGTTGTTTGAGTGACTGAGTTTAAACATACTTTAAATCTGAACTTACATCTAGGGGTGGGAGACATGACAAAATATAACATTACCAATTTTCACAATACATTTATCACCAAATTTATTTATTCAGGAGGTTGCAAAAAGTCACTGTTGCAAAAATAAAACGATAGAGGAGCACAAGGAAAAACCTAATTGTAAAAATAAATAAATATAATAAATGCAGCTTGTTACTACAATTTATTCACTTACCACCCACTGGTTGCTGTTTACAGACTCTATTGTTTTATGATTGATGCATGTGTTCAGTGTTCTAGAAGTTCTGAAGATACTGAGATTCTCTTATGTGGTGATCCCTTTCAGGCTATCATACTGATGCTCAAAACGTGTAACACAAGCAGGTGTAAACAGGGTCATATGTATGAAAAAGAACTGGAAGACAGTGTGAAAGCAACATAGACTTCTGACTCTTGCTGTTGAGGTGTTCTCTGTTAAGAAAAAGAACTGCTAATGGGATTAGTGGATGGATGATAGGGATTTCTGGCAGGCCCACCCACTCATTTCTATAGTAGAAAAACTGGAGATACTTTCAACACTCGAAAGTGATACAATTCAGAACTCTCATATCAGAATGTACCTACAGGGAGGCCAACAGAGCCAATTTGTTATTCAGGAACAGAACACATGAAAACATTCTCTCGGTAAGGACGTGGCCTTAAGGTCAGTAGCCTCTCTCAACTCTGCGGACCCCACCTTCCTCTGGCAGTCGCTCACCTCTCGCCCTCACCCCCGACTGGGCTGTTTGACAGAATAAGGCAACAAAATTAGATCTACTCGGCGTGCTCTGTTTCCCTCTCTCCCTCTCCCTGCCTAACAAAGAGCTCAGTGCTCGTCTGACAGAGGGCTGACTGAGGAATAAAGTGAGGGAGCAGACGAGAAAAACACCACTCCAATCGCTCTATTGTGACTGCAGTGGCAGCCATCAAGTGATTGGGTAATTACCGTGCCAATCACGCGGAGGTCAAAGCAGATAGGGCGCCGGTGGGGAGGGGGCAGCCGGGGTGCGAAAGTGAACCAGTGAGGTTTTAACAGGTATAATTTCTGCGGCGTTTGCGACCCTTGAGATTATACAGCGGGGGCCAGGGGAATGCGGTTCGGACAGGGGTGACCTTGGTTTGGGTTGAATGGGAGGAGAGGAGGAGTTCTTTGGGGGACGGACAAAAGAAGAGCAGTGATTGAGCCTGGCCCGTGACGACACCTCTCAGGCAATCGCGCTTAATTGAAATGAAGAGCGGCAATATTATTCATCAAGCGGGAGTCAAGAGCCAATTCAAATACAGACGCGCGCGCTAACCGAGCAACGGACTCAAGAGACAGTGAGAGCGAGAAAGAGAGACAGACACACACATTAACCTGTTTAGACAGCTGCGTTATTAAAAAAGTGAACAAAAGTTTTAATCGAAAAAAAAAAAAAGTTTATTTGCTGTGGAAAAGAAAAAAAATTGATGTTACAGAGCTCAAAAATAATACCTACACCTCACAGATTTCTCCCTCAAATGTCCATTTCACTCCTAAACTAACCTTCCGTTTCAAACTAAAAGGGAAAGAGCAACTTTTAAGAGATAGATTCAGAACCATCAATATGATATGAAGCCCCTCAAACCGCAATTATCCCCCACCCCCTTCAGAGCCCACTACTAACCACCCCATGCGAGTGACTAAGCCTCCCCAGGAAAAAGGCGCAAAAAAAAAGCAGAAAAAAAAAAAAGACTTAACCATGTTGAAGGCTTCATAATTTCCCTGGATACAATTTAGCTGTCACTGGCGTTCAGCCTCACTGCAACATGTACCCGTTAATGTCACCAACTTTGCATGTCAAGCACTTTCCAGCCAATTAAGTCGCAGGAGAATAAAAAAAAGAAGCATGAGTGAGTGCTTTGCGCAAAGAACCTGAAGAATTAGACAAGAAAGCACGTTTCATCCCTTCTCCCCTCCTCTCCATCTCTCTCTCTCGCCCACCTCTTCTTTTGTTCTGCAGACTGGCATCCATGTTATCATCCATTCTACGTATTCTCAAAGAAGGAGACCACTAAATGGGTGGGGTGTATAAAAAAAAGGAGGGAAGAAAAACATGGAAAGAGAGAGTGTGTGTAATACAGAGGGGTGACACCAGGATTTGCGATCTATGCTTGAGTTTCATACTCGTAGGGCACAGCCACAGCTGTCTAGCCACTTGACAAAGATGTCATGCTAACCTGTATCCCCACTTTTCAGGCTTCCTATCCACTACTTTGCAGATTCTCAAAGGCTCCTCAGACACACGTCTCTGTCAAATGTGTGCAAATGTGTGATTTTTAAAATTATATCTATAAATTATAAAAAAAACCTTGACAGCCCTGTTCTCCTCCCTTCTTGTTGTTACCATTAATATGTCCCTCCCAGCCCCTTCCACAAAAGAAAAGTTCCTGCCACTTCCCTTTGTTCAGCTCATTAGGAGGAGGGTGGGGAGAGGAGGACGGATCAGGAGCGGCGGCCGTGGTCGTCGTGGCGACGTGCTGACGGCTGTCAGAGTTAATCCCATAGAGAAGTGTTCATTAAGTCATTATAGCTGACACGCTGACGAGATACTGACACGCGCGGCTTTGTCCCCCGTCCACACAGCTTTCCAAGACGGGGAAGAGAGAGGGATGACAGAGTAAGAGCGAGAGAGAGAGAGAGAACTAGAGCGAGAGAGAGAGAGAGAGACAGAGAGAGGGTTGACGGGACATGGGAAATGAGAGGGAGACGAAAAAAGGGGCGGGGAGTTACGAAGGGTGGAAAAGTTTGGGGGCGAGGGAGGACAAAAGACTGTGACAGCGCGAGGAGGAAGGACAAAGAGGGAATCAAAAGACAGATTGGGCAGTTCATTTAACACTGAGACTTGCTTTATGAAGTCAGCTGATATTTAATGCAGTAGGAGTACCAGGTTACTTTGGTACGAGGGTACCGGTCTCTCTTCCTGCTTAGTTTTTCCTCTCAAAGTTGTGGACGAGGATGGCTGCCAGTCACCGCGTGAGAGCGTATGTGAGCTTATCTGCCTCTCTGCGGAGAGGCGCCCCGTTCCCCCCTCGTTTCGTCTCACTAATGAACCTGACTTAAATTAGAAAGCTTATCGCGAGCGAGGCAGCAATTAAAGCGCGCGCCACGCCGGTGTGTTTGCGCCACTCGAGTGACAGGAAAACAAACAGTCTTGGAAGGGGCACATTGACTCAAACACCATGTACACCCCTGTATTCCCCCAGCAGGGAGAAGTGCGGGTGGGGGGGGAGGCACTTACGCGCTGCTCTGCATGTCCCCAGCAAATCCAGCAATTAGCACAGGGTGCATAATTAACATGCAAATGAGCTGATCTACTTAAAAGCGGCTCTCGCAAATAGACCTCAATGGAGGCTGAGGGGCGGGGCTGAGGGGCCAAGCTCGGAGAAACGGCGCCTGTTTTCTTTCCCTCTGGTTCAATTTGCATAGAGCGTTTTAGCCAGAAGGCAATGATGGCCATCCATGTCCCTGTAAGCACACATGTGAGGACAAACACAACTGTCCATTTGGTGTTTTGCAAATGCAGGAATTTATCTAAAGGTGTCTCAGGTGCGTCAGGTTCTGAGGAAAGAGTAGGGGTTCATTTCCACTCACCTCTCCAGGTATGCAGTGACCAGCGGTGAGCAGAGATTGCTGGAGGGACTGACCAGGCCCAGGGTGAAGATTGTGTCCTGCAGGCGCCGGATGGTGGTGCTGTCTCCCTTTAAAGCGGCAGAGTTGAGCGTGTGGAATAACAGTGTGACCGTGGTGTCCTTCACCGGCACATCTTTCTCCTTCATCTCCTTCAGAATGTCCACTGCCTCTGAACAGGAGAGAGACAGAGATCTGTGATCAGCTGTGACATTCTTGGCCATTTTTAAAGTGCCTCTAAACAACTGTTCTCTTAAAGCAAACCTTGTAACTGTATAGAAGGAAAAAAACTCACCGTCTATATAGAACTTTAAAAAAATGTAAGGTCTGCTTTAAATTTTGAGTTGATTTATTCGTTATTCAGTGTTTACACAATGTCAAGGGTAGCTGGTGTTTTCAATGGTATGAAACAATAAAAACAAAAAAGCAAAAAAAGTTTTATGATAGCTAATGATATGCATCGTTTTCTAGCAGTAATTGATCACAGAGATTGCCAAATTGCCTCCCAATCACTGTCAATAAGTTTCTCAGATTACTTTACATCAAACCACTTGGAACAATTGCCTTCACATCTCAATGATTCAATTTTGCAGAACTCTTGAAAAACTGGTGGAATTCTCCTTTAACCATGCCTCAGTTCTGGTATGGTGTGGCAGCTCATATACAACCTTCGCCTCCAGGTTAATAGGGAAGGAAGCCTGAAGGAAGGCCCCTTAGGACACAAGAACCTGCTCCAATATGCTGTCATGCTCTCGTCTGCCTGTTCCTCACTCAGTGGGATTAAATCTAAGGCTAGTAGCAGGGCTGTCCCCTGATGGGCCTGCTGCCGCTGCTGATGCATGCTGAAGCCAGCGTGAGAGGGGAGGAGGTGATAAAAGGCCCCTTAGATAATTTCATGTGGGGAAAACAAACCGCTATTAAAACAACATTTTACACCCAGCGGGAATGCAAATGCTGGCGTATAATGCCAATTCGCCGCTAATTGCTACTTGCATTTCTAAACGAGACTACAATTACCAGGCCCCCACAATGGCGGGCTGCTTTTTTTTTCGCAGCTCCCTGCGAAAGCATCCCGGTAAATTATAGGTGTGCGGCGAGTGCCCGCCGTGAACCTGGTGGGCCGCGGTCGCAGGCGTGCCGCCGATCGCCCGCCGTAATGGAAGCTTTTTACTGGGCAATGCTCCCATCTGGCAGGGGCCGGGGGTCCGTCGTTCTCCAGCACCCCAACACCCCCTCCAACCAAACTCAACAGCTGCTTTGTCACCAAGCCAGATAATTAAGATGTGTTTACGCACTGTTTAGAGGCTCGCTAATGGGCTGATACCGATAGGGCCTGTTTGCACCGGCGATACTAATCATCTGAAGCCAAACTGGTGAGAGAAATACAAACGTCCTCAAACAAACATGCACAGAAACTCCTTCAGCTACTTTCAGGTTCCTGTTCAGAAGTGCCTCTCTAGAGCTGTGTTTATGTGCAAGTAAGTCTGTCAGAGCACCCGCTTTCAAATATCTGTTAAATTCCCACCCTTGAAAGTTTTCACCTCACACAACCCAATATAATGTTGACCTAGGAAATACACGCTGTACAAGACTGCAGGTGACTGTTTTATTACATACACGCGACAGCTAATGTGCAGGAACGGAGGAATAAACAGATGAGCTGTCCAGTCCTATACAAGCGTGACATGGCAGTTTTACACAAGCATTTTCTTTCAGTTATGGATCACAGAGGTTGCCAAATTGTGCCCCCCAGAAGCTGTTCGGAAAGTCACGTTTACTGAGAGTGGTGGAAGCTCGGAATAGTATGAACGTAGTAACTAAGACAGCATGAAACGTCTCTAACTGGCTCTAGTGCTAGGGTTCAACATATGATAATGCGAAAAATTGTCACACTAGTTATGTATTCAAAGGATTTTGAGAAAATGATTTAATGCTTCAAAACATTTGTCGATGTACACTATGGAAATGGATATAGTCTGTAATACTTTATAATTGTTGAAAAAAAATTCAGTTTTTCAGTAAATTGTTTCCCGATATCTAAAATGTTGCAAAAACATGCATTTTTAGGAAAAATAATGCATTCATTAAGTGTCATGGGACCATTTTTCATGTTCCTTCCCATTCCTCTTACGACAAACTCAGCAAGAGAGGAAGAGCTGGACTGAAGTGGGGACGAGCATTTTTGAAAGAAATATTGCCACTTTTTAACTCTTACAGAGAGAGATGTCCAGAAAAGGCTACAGTCTTTCTTAATGAAAGGATCTCAAACCCATCTACATGAAAGACAAACTTGATCTCACATGTAAAAGTCCAGATGAAAAAAAGAATATAATAATAATATTAATATTAATAATAATAATAATAAGAAGAAGAAGAAGAAGAAGAACGAAATAAAGAAAATGTTCTTCTCAGGCATTTTTATCAGTAAAAGTCAGTTTCATGGGAACATGCTGCTGGGTAGCAAAACAATTTTAACGCATTTTAATTTTATCACTCAACTTCTGCAGAAGGTTGATGGAAACTTAGCTATTGAGCATACTCTTGATATCAGTACTTAAAGCACTACTGCATATTAATTACAAGGACAGCATAATTATCCCCGTTTAACTTAGTGCATGTGAAAAGCTGCATGTGCACCGCCGAATAAAAGTCATTGTATCAATAGTTTTTGACAGGTATTTTAATAAAATGTCTTGAAATACCAAAAAATAACATTATGATACATCACCCACCCCAACTCCAGTGCTGGCAGTATTTAGCAGTGCCGCACACACAAGCCTACTTTGTCGTCCAAATTCCGGCCTGTCACTTCACTTCCCTCTAATTTTTGTCCTGTTGTTATGCAAATCCATCCCAGCTCTCTGGGCTGAGGAAAATTGACAGGGCAAAAGGTGGGGGGACCAAAGGCAGTAGACGGGTTTAACACAGGGGTCATGCTGAGTGTTCGAGAGGCTGCTTTAGTAAGATTACACTCCGCTCACTCAACACCAGCATTTCTGCCATCAGAGATCTGCAGGAGAGGGGTGTGTTGTATCAGGATCCCAGCAGTCGGTACAGCATGGGACAAGCTATCAGTTTGATTTGGAGCTCTTGTTTAAAGAAAGTGGCATGGCGTGGGTTAACAGCTGGATATGAACTCGAGCGATTGAGGTTAAGTGGCTCGCCGGAGGGCACGGCGGCAGTGATACCCATCAGGGATAAGAACTAACAACCTTTTCATTCTCCAACAGGTCATCACTGTAGTGTAAGTAGTGAATCACGTGGCATTCCCACTAGCTTGAGACAAGAGGTACATTGCAGCACAGAGGCCCAGCGATCCTACAGGATGGTCCTCCAGTTTTGAGACAATTTATTATATTGTGTGTTTGAGCTGTTTGTGCCAAAGCACACCCATGGCTTAACTAAGTGAGTAAAGAGTAACTACAAAATTGACCGCAATCCAGCTGGGCTTCAAAGTAGCACCTCAAGACATTTAATCCCTTAAACCTCTTGCTTATTATTTAGTTATCTTTGGACATCTTCAGTAAATGCTATGAATTAGTAATAACTATGAAACAAAATATGCAAGTGAGGTAGTTCTGAGAATGAGAACATGAAGTGTGAGCCTTCATACATGTCCCACAGGGTTCAAGGAGGTAAAACTGTAGGCCTACTACTCAGTCACTAATCTTAAGGCAGGGCTGAAACATTAATCGCTTTAATAGAAGAAAAAAAAATTCAAAGAGCGCAATTTTTGAATTGCAAGAGCTGCCATTAAGTATAGCCTACATTACAAACAACACTGTCTTTAGTTTTAAATGGGGAAATTTAACCTGGCTGCAGAAGAGTTCAGAAGCAACCAAACACCCATGTGCTGTGTACAACACAACCACAACTAACTGGCAGACTGGCCCCGTATGTTTAGTGTACAAGCTTTAAAGTGGATATGTTGGTTTTCTTGGGTGTAAAACAGTCCTGGAGCTTCATTTATAAAACGTACCTGAATTATATTGTAAATGCATTCTTAAGATAAGTTTCTAAGACAGATAAGATTTTTATGAATCCACCTATTTTCACAAACTGCGTCCTGTTGTTCCTGTGGCACAATCGGTCTGACATTTCCACACCAGGTTGAAAACTTCATCTACGCACATTTTCATGTCAAAGTCACACTTAATCACTACTTAAATATGAACTTCCACATACGTTCATTTTGAGATCGTATCTACGCGTATTAAAGTTTTAGAAATGAGACCCCTGTAGCTTAATTTGTAGAAAAATACTGCAATTTAAATCAGTCACAAAATACAGTGGCTGTTATCAAGGATTCAGTAAATACTACAAACTAACGTCCAAGTTGCATGTGTGAGAGAGAGGAAAGCTAAGGGTTAACCCTTAAATCAGTGCCATCACTGACAAAAACTTAATGCAGGGTGTAACTGTTCATTATTTTTTCACACGTAGCTCATCGGAAGAAGCGGAGAAATATTTACACGAAAACAGTGAACTTGAAATGGATGCCACATTTGTAGTACGAACGTTTTAAACTTCAAATTTGGTTAGAGGTTACTGTTCTAGATAAAGTCTTGTTTTGCTGAAACACACTTCACATTTTTGCCACCTTTGTCATCTGTTGGGATTGAAACAAATAAGCGGTAGACTCGAAACTGTTGACGTAGAACGTGAACTGTAATTCATTAACTTATGCAATTAATCATGTAAGCGTAATTACATGTAAATAACATTCGACAGTAATGACTCAACATCTTGATTAAACTGCAGGCTTACTATTTAGTTATTAATCCTGAGACTTAATACTCGTAACTACTATGAAACTAATGCACAAGTTAAGAGAGCCCATATATGAGGAGGTCAAGAAATATGCACTACAAATGAGGTCACACAGACCCTGCTATGTACTGTCCTGTATATCAGGAGCAGCTGTTTCACACTTGACTGCTGCAACTGAAGGCTAGAAAGATCTGGAAAAAGAGACAGCCCAGGCTTCTCCTGCACGTAATCATGGCCAGTCGGCCAATGCTGCTAAATGGGGCTGAATGGATCGCTGGCTGCTCATGGTCCCAGCCCACCAGCAGATATCACGCATACACAGGAGTAAACAAATATCACACACGTCATTACTCCCCTCTGCTCAGTCCAGGGCCCAAAAAGCTGCTTATGATTCCCCTCCAAAACATGTGGACCTGAGTGGTGAAAGTGGGGAGTAGGGGGTGGAAAAAAGTCAGCAAAACAGAGCTGTTAAAAGCTGGGGCAGCCAGTGCGCGCTGGTGCCACAAGTCATGATCTTTAAGCAGGGCCTGTTGCCGTAGCGATGTGGGCAGTGGCAGAGCACTGAGGTGTGTTAATGCGGGAGACAAGCTGCTGGCGCGCACTGGTGGGCTAATGGCCGCTCGCTCAAGCTGACGGACACATACGCACACGCGCCCGCGTGCACGCACTTCCCCTCATTACACACCCTCGCCTGAATTCACATGCAAATGTATGTGTGTGTGTGTGAGAAACGCTCAAGCACTTTCCCCGACATGATATGCCATTAGTATCAGGACGGATTTCGGTAATTCCGTTAAAGTGGCGCAGGTCCTGTAATTTTCCCCTGCTCGGTGACAGGAGGAATCCGCCGGGAGGGGGGCCGAGAGTGACACACATGGTAAAAAAGGAGCGTGAGTATATATTTTCGCCATCACTGTGTGCACAAAAGCAAAGAGGAAACACTCTTATTGTAATTGTGTCTTACAAGAGCGTGGAGAAATCCACCGTGGAATTCAGATAATGGCTGATTAATGTGGCCGTCCAGAGAGATGGATGTCTAGGGCTTCACGCAATCTTGTACTTATACGCACATACGCCTGCACGTTTGATTTAGAATTTTGCCAAACTAATTAAGCAACTGGCAGTCCTTTAAAATTACCTTCAACAAAAATTCTCTGCAATACTTTGCCTTTCAGAAATCAGAACGAAGTGCACATTATGACTTTATCTCATTTGTTCACTGTTATTTCATTAACCTACCCCACTGAAAGCATGAAACAAAAGGCCGGCCAATATTACATCCTTAAACCATCTTAGGCTGGCTCTACACAGTGAAACTTGCATGCAACTTTAGTTGCTTGAAACCTATATGAATCTAAATTGCATAATATTAAGTGTCCTGAAACTCACTTGAAACCCAGCTGCAACAGTCACAGGCGTCTCAACTATGTGGAACAAGTTTCCTGAATTGCTGCCAATCAAATTCATGTGATCTCGTTGAACCACACCTTTTCAAAGCACTGACTACAAATGGTGCCAGCTCGATAGAGAGCAAAATAAGACAAAGGAGATCTATCTAACTGACTATGCAAGGCTAGTAGTTTTTCATTTTGTCAGTTATCTGAGAAATACTGTGAATATTTAAATCACACCTTATTACACCTAATTACAGCTTATCAAAAAACATGAGCTGCTAATATGGCTATCTAGAGGAGTAAGTGAATGTGTTGCATGCAACTTTGTTTTTGAATTGCTTTCTGTAACTATCAAGTAACACAGAAATTGTGGTGCAGGCAACTCAAAGTTTTACCGTATAAAGCCAGCCTTACTCCTTCCTAAAGAGAACCCTGACTCTTTAAATCCTGGAATACTTTTCTGTTAGTGGACTAACCTTCAAGCTTGCCATGTTTGGACAGCACTTTGACCAAGCTCATGTACTTGTTGGCATCCAGGGCGACCTCAGAGTCCTTACGAGCCCTACACAGAGAGATAACAATACAAACAGAGCACTGAGAAAAATTTTGTTAACCATTCAGAAGTCTTTAGATTCCTCCACCAATGTTTCTTTACATGTAATCTGATCTCCATAGTCATGCTAATAAATAAACAATTCTTTGTTTAAAATAAATAAATAAATAAATAAATGCTCAACATCGATGGAAAAAGTCTCCTGAATAGAGGCTAATTGAAGTTGACTGTTCCAGTAAGTTCAGCTGTGGGTTTGACCTGCCCTGCTGTATATAAACACCACTAATTATTTTTATTACCTGCTTTTGATGACAGAATTATGTTCAGACGCAGTGTGTCCTGATCATGAAAGATTTTAGAGCTGCTGAAGCTCAGAAGGGTTACAGAAGGATTTCTGTAATAAGCCTCCATCAGTACACAAGCAGGCACTTCACAAATTACAGGATAGTTTACAAATGGAAAAGCTTCAGCGCAGTTGCTACTCTAACTAAGGAGTGGGTGTTCTACAAAGATCAGTACAATGGCACTGTGCAGAATCCGCAATGGCCGCTAACAACCTGCAGGTATCTGTTGCACTTGATGCTGCATGTGGGTATAAAAAAAATCCTTCAAAACTGCTCTCTAAAATCCACCACCAACACTGCTGGCTATCTCAGTGCTGCTAAAGACCTTCCAAGGACCAATTGTTTCCAGGCTGTATCAGAAAATTCACTGTCCTTTAATGGTTCTTGGAGAAATGAATTTGCCTAGGGCTGTCAGGACATGCATGTGCGATATGATTTGGGCAACATGAATGTTTCAAAAGTAAATCAACAGCCAGAAATGGAAAAAGTCTGTATGTAAGAGTTCAACTAAATGCTCTAACAAAATTAGTTGATTCTGAGACAATTCTAGAAACATACATGAACTGAACCGAACAGGCCACAATACAACAGAATAGCTTCCACTGGTCACTAAACATAAGGCTTTATATACTTTTCCAAAATCCAGAAAATTCATAGTTTTGTTGCACATTGACGTCCGATTTTGGTCGGTACTTTTCCTGTATTGTCTTTTTTTGCATCCACCCACGATCTTTTTGTGGTTAATTAATCTTGTGGTCAATAATTCTTCTGTGTTATTTGTTTTTTATTAATATGGTCCACCTTTGTTGAATGTTCCTTTCATTACTGCCATGTCGTCCATTCTCCCCTAGCCTTTTGTTTTCCTTGTGATATTCTTGTGCTTCATTGTTGGCCTGTTTCTGATGGTCTATTTAATAATATTTAGTTTTCTATTTATTTAAAAAAAATAAACAAAAATAATAATATTCTTATTATTATAATAATAAGAAGAAGAAAAAGAATACTGATAAAAAATAAGAATCATGGTGAATCATGGTTTTTACAACTAGACCTTATGAATTAAGTCATCCAACTAGAACTTATGTATTAAGTCATCCTGCTATCATAACAATTACAATAAAGTTGCTTTCTCAATCTTTGACAAACAAACCGCATTCTTCTGGTACACAGCCATGCACATCCAAAATGAGGCTGCCTCACAAGCTTTTAAACTTACAACTCTCTCTTCAGGTTCAGTGCCTCCTCAGGATTGTCATGACGACAGCAAAGGTTGATGAGCAAAGCATAGCAACTGGGAGTCATCTCCTCCTCATGCTGGGCTTTCACCTCCAGAGCGCGAGACAGGTTCTGAAGTGACATGTCATGGTTGCAGTTTACATTTAATACATATATATCAAAACATTCCTGAATCTAACAGTACAGAAAGAAAAAACAGACAAGATGATTGTGAGAGAGCGAGAGCCCACCTCCTCAGCACAGAGGGCACTGATCAGCTGTTTGAAAATAGCTCCAGTCGGCTTTCCCTGGGACTTCAACTCCTCCAGCTTCTTCTCCAGACTCAGCACTCTGTCCTCGAAACCCTGAGAAGCAGAGCGTCATTTAGACTCTCCCATTTATTCTGTCTTCACTTTCTAACTGGTCAAATTACGTTTTTTTTTATTTTCTAAGTGAAAACAACAAAATATGTAATCTGACCAGGGGTGCTCAAAATTTTGCATTACAACTGTATATGTACACAGTAACAGGCATCTCCGAAACCTTTGACACTCAAGCTCACTTACTCTAGGGGTGGGAGCATCCGAGGCCCTGATGCTTTCTTTGTCATCCACAAGAGCAAGAACGTCCTGCAGGAAGAGAAATGATATCAACATGAAGAGTGTATCACATGCCCATGACCTTGACCTTGACATGACCTTCAGATTTGATATGGTTCAGTTCATTCAGTACAGACACAACCAAGCAGAACCTTAATAAGCTCAGGCACGTGGTAGGAGTCCAGAATGTTCCTGATTCCTCTGTAGATGTTTACAGGAATGGTGATGTTCTGCAAAGACATAATGTAGTTAAATTAAAACCCCTTTTCTCCACCAAGTTCAACAAGTTAAAAACGGAGACGGCACATGATTACATGGGCAAACTGCACTCCCCAGCAATCTCAGTGTGTGTACCAATAATATTAACCTTTACTAATGACATCACATGAAGCTGAAATAAACAAGTGAGGCCAGCAATTTTGCAAAACTCTAGATCAGGGGTCGGCAGCATGCGGCTCTTCTGCTTCACTGTTGTGGCTCCACAGCAGAATTAGATTTTTTAGGTAAAAATAAAATAATCCTCCTTTGCAGTAAAATAAAGCTGCTGATCGTTCAACACAGTTTTAGCAATAAACGGTCTTAAACGCTGGAAGTAACGTAGCTTATAACTGCTGTTTTACCCTTTAACCCTGAAGGTTGGCGCGCAGACTGTTGGCCACAGCAACACAGAGAACAATCTCGCCTAGCTAGTAGCTAAAAAAGAAAGATTTAACACGAACATCAGTAGACGAACGGACTTATTTGCATTTATTATGCACTTCGGCTGTTTCCTGATTCGTTTAATCTGCAACGAGAAACTGTCAAAACACTAAAAAGTCACGAGGCTGAGGTCAGTTTCTCGTTCGAATTTCCCTGTTCCACCTTAAATGGTGCCTGAGGTGTCAAAATGTATCCGCTGCACCATTTAAGGTGGAACGGGGAAATTCAAATCTGAACAAGAAGCAGGTGAATAATAAGCTGGCTTCAGTCTCGTAAAATGTCAAACGTTAAGAGACATTTTACAAGAAGCCATTTTACTTTTGCAGAAAAGTTTCCTGCCGGAGATGTGAGAAAAGCAGCTACAGCTGAGCTAAAGCTTAAAGCAGAGCAAAATAAGTCTGCATTTGCGTTTATATTATATATTTTTAGCCTATACTAGTACATTAGCACATACTGAGACATATTTACAGCCAAGATGGCTTGATAGATGTTGTGGCTCCCAAGGTGGTTTGATATTTGTTGAAAGGACAAAATGGCTCTTCTTAACATTTGGGTTGCTGACCCCTGATCTAAATAAATACATCATTAAGATGGAAAGTCATTGAGCGTGGTTTGATGTGAAACGCACCATTGTACAGAATCTTACAGGGTCAGAACAGCTTACAGTGGAGGTGAAAGGAAGGGTTTGTCTCCACAAACTCCCTCACAGAAAGTTATTACATAAAATGGTTACGAATTATGTTGCCTAATGTCAAAGACATTGTTTCACAATAGCTTTGAGATAAGGCTTTTGTCTCATTCATTCATGGCTGAGAGGTACATGCAAGGTGTTACATGGCAAAATAGAAGTCAACGTCATATTTTTTTGGTAGTTGTTTTTGACCACTATTCTTCCGATATAAGTACATTTAAAACTCAGTAGTGCCCTACTGCTTTAGGCTGTGGGTCTGGCTTACTTTACCCAATACCTAATCCATTAAAACAAGCCTGGATCAGCCCCAAACTTCATTACTTTAAACTGACGCAGGTAAAAATAATGCAGGGCAACCTTTAAGCATGTCACATCACTTCCCCAATGTGTTTGTAATATGTTGCAAAGTGCAGTGCAACTGCAACAAACAGCACCACAACAGCAATAGTAATATTTTGTTCGTATTGCGCAGCCCTAGTGTATGTACATACCTTTTGCCCAAGCTGATTGAGGTACTGTCTCAGCTTCTCCTCTTTAGCCTGCACGTCTGTCTCGGTCATTCCGTCAAACAGGTTATAGAGAAAGTAGGCCACGTTGTCTGGGTTAAGCAGAAGAGGAACAACGGCTCTTGCTCATTTCACCCATGCAGACAAATCCCAACACTTTCCAACACATACAATCATTCAAGCTTACCAACAGAAAAAACTATGAAATACTAAAAAGAATACTGAACAAAAGGGGCAAAGGCTTGTGTGTGTGTTGCTGACAGAGGCAGCTTTGCTGCAGTCCTGAGTGAAGTGTGGTTTAATGTGTGTCAGGCAACTGACAGCCTCACACACACACTTGTGTGGCACAGGGCGATGAGAAGAGACAGAGAGACCGTCTCCATCTCTCCCACCTGCTCGTGCACCAGCTCTGAGGCCGGCCCAGACGCAGCAAGACCCACACACCCACACACACACTTTACTCAGTGCAGAGTCAGCAGCCAGACAGCTCCACACACAGTCTCACAAAATACACAAACACACAGCGATGGTTCAGCTTGCATCAACCACACACACTTAACGCAAAGAGAGGCTGTCAGGACAGACTCCATCAGTGAGCCTGGATATACAGACAAGTGCTTTCCTCCTCTCTTTCTCTGCCTTGCACCCACTTGTATGTGTGCAAATGCATTAATCTCCATCAGTAACTCCTAACTGCTGAATATTCAATAGTTTTTGAAATAGCTGCTTAACACTTTCTTTACAGAAACTGATGCGGCTTAAAATACTGCAGCATTAACGTTAGTCATGTAACACGATGAGCTTGTTTGTTTGAGTTTTTAAAGGGACGTTAGCTTATTTTGACAAATCACTCAGTGTGAACTGCCTCAGGTAGTGGTTTGAGTGGTTCAGTTTGTCAGAACACCAGCATGGAGGGAAAGCTGCCATTTAATGACCACTCTGCTGCTTCAGAATTGATCCCAGCATGTTTTCTTTGCCAGTGGTGGAAGGTAATGTGCTTCCAAGCAAAAGCAACAAAGGCATGCACAGTTATATACTTGTTATAAGTATTTTACGGAAATATTCTAAGACTTGACTTCTTTTTAAAACTATCAGTCATACTTGTTCTTTTTCTTTCACTCTCTGTTCATAAAGGTACGATATTAATTTATTACTGCATATTCTACAGATAGTCAATGCACACATCATCCCATAATCATCCTAAAATATATCAACATCGTCCCAGGCACTATTATCATTTTTTTGTAGCCTAATATTATATTTACTAAGATGACATTAGCCGTTTAGGCCAGTTAGGCAAAGCACCTTCCCATTACAAGTGAAAACATAGATGCATTCCTTTTTTTGAGTCATGCTGCTGTGAAACGCTTCCTCTGGTTTTGCATACTGTGCACGGTACTGTACTTTTGTGGGTCTTGAGTTTATCTCCATTTGTGCCACCATCTTTTAAACTTCTCTGTGCCACAAACAATTTTTTTCTATGATGGAACAAAATGGCGTAATAAAGCCACAATCTTAACAGGCCTGTAGTAGTGAACACAAGAAAGAAGGCACTAATCCAAAAAGCCTGAAACATCCATACCAGTTAAAGAATGAGAGATCCAATAAAAGCATACCTGCACTGTCTGTGCCTGCCTGACTGAACCGGCTGTCATTATAGAGAAGCTCTGTGATCTGAAACAAAAAAAATAAAAAATTCAGAACACTAAGTACATCAATAATTGCATGCTTTACAGTACAGTGCTGGTCCCACTGTTGGAAAACCACACATTACAAATGTTTGTATTTTTACAGCGCTATCACGTGTAACTCAGCTCATGAAATACTTGATAACAGGTTGAAGAGATGAATGAGGTATGTTAATGTGAGTGAAATATGCAGAGCTTGGGGTCACCATGAGCAGTACTGGGAATGATGACATTAAAGAGCAGATGCTTACCTTGGTCATGCTCTCCACATCATTCGACCTGCAGGGGGCAGCAGAGGATCAGAGATGTTCAACAATAAAGGCACAATCACAGAGACACTCTACTGCATGCATACATGCATTTACACACACGCACAAACAAACACACAAATAAATACACTGTAGGTCAAACACAGATCTAAACCAATGATAAGCAAAAGTCAGATTATAAAAAACTGCATTTTTAAGTGATTTTGGACTATGTTTTGCTTATAAAAAAAAGAAAAACGGCACTTTTATTAGGTCAGTACAAATAGCTTCCAATACATATTTGACATTTTTAATTATAAAAAGCATTTGTAAACTACAATCTGAACCTCTCAAAAAAGTAAAGCCAAGTTCAATTCCTAAGGGCAATGTCTGTGGTTTTTAGCTGTAAAGTGGGTGTAAGTGAACAAAAACCAAAACTTACGCTAGAATATGAAGATATTAGGTTATTTATGTTGTATATATGTAGTGAGTACTGCTGTACCGATACAAATATCAAATCAGTATCGCCACTGTATCGATACTGGTACTGGTACTTATGTTGCCCCTCTTGTCTCTGTTGATCAGCACACAAGCAAGAAGGTGGGGAGAAGACTCCAGTGTCTTTTAATGATTAAATTATCCCCTGACCTTGACTATGACAGGAGCAGGTCGCCACGGAGACAGGCCCCTACATCCCCCTCTACCCTCATGACAACCCCAATTAACGGCCTGACAACTGTCGCCAACGACAACCGCCCCGCACCATCCTCCCCTCATTTCTAAATGTTCTGCATGCAGGGCAGCACCAGCACCAGCCACTGCTCAGTACAGCAGAAGGAGAAGCTGAACTTATGGCTCCTTTATCTCGTCCTGCTGATAAGCATAAATGCATATGATCATAATACATCATACAGCTAGGTGCAATGACTCAAACATATGCTAATGACCTATCCAGAAAGACAGGGGTGAGGGGTTAGATTATGAAACACAAAGGATTAATGTATGTGTGAGAGATTTAGGAGCTTCTCTGCACATTGCACTTGGGCTATTGCCCCAGGATGACGTATCCATATGCATGAAGTAAATAAAGGGTGAATGAATGTCTGCCTGAAGGAAAAAAGACACACTCACACATGCTCGCATACACACGTACACTTACCCCTTGAACCCAGCGATCAGGCTTGCTCTGAAAGCACCAATGTCAATGTTAGGGAAGGAGGATGAAGACACTGTAGAGATAGACACAAAATAAATCAATAAGTCAGGATCTTTAGAGAGGTTTCCAATCTAGTGCATAACCCATATTCTATTACTGACTAGGGGTGGGCAATATATGATATCATTATCATGATAAAACACAACATAAGCTTACCTGATCATTTGATTGGTATAATAATTAAAACACATTTACAAACTGCATCATTAAACAGAGGTTTAAACGAAAAAAAAATATTGATTAAAATGCGGCACTGCTGTTTCGTGGGTACATCGTGTCCGTTCTGACTTACGGAATGTATGAAAATAAAAAAAAGTTATATGTATAGTGAAAATCTTACGCATCCAAAATTATAAAAAATTAATACATTTAGGAAAGCTATGTATCTGGTCAGCATGCATATATATGCTCTGAAAACCACTAAAATTAGAATAAATACAAATAATATTAAGACAATAAGTAGTGATTTTATGCATGTCAATGTGTTTCGGTTAAGCTTTTCCAAGCACAGCACTGATTGTAGTTATTACCCAACACCTGGTTTGGCTAATCAATGCTCCATTAAGTTAACTCAGGAGTGCTGGTGATGGAATTCAACAAATTCATACAGTGGCTCAGTGATTCAAGGAGGAATCTGGAACCAAATCTTTGTTTGGCTAACAAGCTCACGCCAACTACTTCCTTTAAAAACAGAAATTCTTGTTCATTGCTATTGCATTAATTTTTTTTGTTTATTCTAGTGCTATATAGTGTTTTAACAGGAAAAACATAGTTAGTGCTGAGATGAATGGTTTTAAACAATTTGGTGTCTAAGACATTTCCACAGAACGGCGTACAGAACGTTGTCTGTTACAGACACTAAAAATGAGACCCATAAAACTCTGTAAGTTGCCCAAATCTCAGATAAAAGGCATCCAGAATATCAGTGTTTTTCACACAGAGATAGCTCTAACACAGAACATCCCCGATCTGGGGACAACCAGAGGGTGTGTACAGTCTGTGTTGTCACATCACCTTACATCTGAGCGGCCTGCATATCCTCTCATTCTAAAACGGGAGTGGATGAGACACCTCTCAGTGCGACACAAACAGGCAGAGAGGATAACAGATGGAGGGAGAGATGCAGGGAAGGGGCAAAGCTGCGATGAGGGTGGAGACCATCCATAATTTAGCAGCATTCGTCCTCTTTCACCTCTGCCAGATAAGGCACTTTATTCCCTCTTTTCTGGCAATCACTCACTAATCACTTAAAAGCCCTGATGAGCGCACGGGGGATTGGCAGAAAAGTGTGCGTGTCTGTGTCACACTTATGAGGGAAATTAACCTCCAGGCGCAAATGTAGGCTGGGTGCTACTGCGGGTGTGTCTATGCTTTGTGCGCACAGGGTCCAGGTGGACTGGCATCTTGAAGATATTTGTGTGACTGTATCTAAATATATATGTATGTGAGGGAGTGAGAGAGAGACAGAAAGACAGAAAGAGAGAGACAGAGATAGAGATATGATGCAGAGAGTCTAAGTCTGCAATACTCATACTCACTCAAAGAAAGCAACCCTGAAAGATTTCCCCTCGCCGCCTCATTTCGCACCTCCGCTGAGACAAATCCAGTAGTGTCCACTGAACAGCCAGCACCCTGCAGCAGATATGGCCACAGGTGAGAAGATATTCTTTTGCTCCCTATCTCACGCACATACTCATAGACAGGGCTATTACCTTGAGAGCAGCCCGGGCAGTGTCCACTGAGGGGAAGGTGGGCAGTACGTAGTTGGAATAAGTGTCAACATCAGGGAGAACATCTAGCTCCTGCATGGCCTTCAGCACCTCCAGAGTGCCTGAGGAAGAAGAAAACAGCAGAATTAATGCCACTGCACACAATTTAGTCAGTAGCAGCAGCAGACAGCAGGACAAATATATTATTACTATCTATATTTAACATTCCTCATAATTACAGCCCCACTGACTTATTGTTCGGTTGAAACTGGCCAATATTAAGGGTTCACAGCACTGGCAAAAACCCTAAAAATAAGGCACTGATAATGTCTTGGAAAGGAAATGTATCGTTTAACTTTGATGCAATTTATATTGTGAACACAATACTTTTTGAAGTCTTTCTACAAAGTATAATACACAATATATTGTAAATTTGCTCACAAGTTCACATTATTTGCCTGTTTAAACTGAATCCTGTCTGACCACTGGTAATCACATAATTTGGTAATGCATGGTGTAAAAGCACTGTCTAAAACAAGTGAAGTCTGTTTTTTCCTTTTGGTTACCATATAAAATTACGCTGACTGATACTAATGATTAATCTCTTACGCTCTTACATGGGAATTTTGTAATAGGACCAATTTTTAATTTCTGCATAATTCAATAACTAAAATATAAGTAAAGTTCAGTGTGAAATGGTTAATTGCAGAGAAATCTACCAACTCTGATTTCTTTACAGTAGTGGTGATAGGAACCAGGGACTGCAACGTCTACAAGCCAAATATAGCCATTTTATTTATTAACCAAAATGACCAGTGAACCTACACGTGTCTGAGTTTTTATATGTAATGATGTTATTGATAAAATAGTGGTAAATCTAAAAAACAAACGTGTTATTTGGGTATTATTTTACCTAACAACACCTTCCATGTGTTTCTACACCATAAATGATTTAAATTAAAGAAAAATAAATAAATAAATTATGTTTTAGGCCAAAACCTTACCTCAAAATTTTTGTAAAATAATGTCTCAGGCATCAGGCAGCATATTCCTAACTATTTCGTCCAATAACCCCTCTGTGAAAGAGTTTTTAAAGGCATTAAACTCTTCAGTTGTCTGGTTCCTATCACCACCACTGTGAACCATTCTGACTGTTAGTTTCTCTAGGACAGAGCATTTCACAGCAAACCACTCTGAATGACTTTGTTTACATCTTAATCGTTTAATTATGGAGAAATTCTGGTCAACTGACATGGGTGGGAAATAATGCACTATTTATCGTTACTATGACAAATTGTCTCAGCATACTGGGGATGTGGTCAGTACTTACACTGACCAGCCACATTTTTAATTACAAAGAAAGCAAAATCATTGTATTCACAGTTCGTGTTATGACATGCAGCACTAATGGAACTTTATCTGTTCTGTTGTATCAAACTTCTGAAAAACTAACTATTGTGACACATTCCATCCGGTTAAAATGACTTAAATTAATGATAGATAGTTTTCCCCATACTGCCTACCTCTAATATTAACCATTACACTTTTCCTGGCTGAACGGCAAGTCCAAAATGGACTTACCAATGTACACAGCTAAGACTACTACTACTGCATCTTTCACAGAGGGACCATGCAAATGCAAAACTGGCTCAAAGAGCTTTTTAATATCTGCATCTTCACCCATGGGCTATTTACCACACACCAAGCCAAGACATACGCTGGCTAAAAACACACACTAATCAGAATATTACACTCCTTCAGCAATCCTATCCCCACACTAAGCTCCACAGCACTGCCTTGAGCTGTGGCCTGAAGCAGGGCCTGGGAGTAGCCACATGAATATGGAACACACCCATTCTGCCAAGCGAGCCATGCATAAGTGTGCGTGTGTGTGTGTGGGCTAAATGAGTGTGCACACATCTGTGAGAGGGGGGTATAAGTGTTTGGAACACGTGAAGCAGTGGTTTCTGTTGTGTTTACTTTCCACCTTGGTCCTTACTGCTGTGTATCGCAAAGCCCAAGGGAGCCCCATTCACCTGGCTACACCGGCCTCTCTCTCCCCTCACAGCTGAATAAAAGATAAGAGCTGCTTTTATCTGCCATTAAAACCTGTATCTGGAGCCATGGGCCACCAGCAACCAGTGGGCGAGAGCATTAGCCAGGTAAGGCACCTGGGGTCTACATCCATCCACCCCATCTCTCCATTTCACTCGTTCATGTCCATCTCCCTCCATTCATGCTCTCTCACTGGCGCGCCGCTCCTCCACTTTCAACAAAAAGCAAAACAGTCGATCTAGATGCTCCCTCCTCAATGGATCCTGAGAGCAATTCATTCGTTCTATGAAAGAAGCACACCTGCTTTCCTCTTTAATAATCCATACATCCATTTCTCAGGCCCAAACACCATCGTCCGACCAGGAAGATGTGAATGGGGCTGGAAAAAGGATAGTTGGCCCCGTCACGTGTCTCGCCAAGCTGCCGGAATCAGCAGATTTTTGTTTTTGCTTTGGATCTCAGGAGAGTGTGCAAGTAGGCTTTTACAGCACCTGAGTGGTTGAGCAGAAATCTCAGGTGACACTCAGGTTGCTATATCGCCAGGTTTCATGGCCGAGCTGCAAATGGACAATGGGATCAAGACAGTAAAGAGGCTCTTTCACTGGAGAATAGTGAAAGGGCAGGGGTCATTCTGTAAACAGGAAACTTAGCCCTCTGATAGTTGACTCAGTTTCAAAAGCAGAGAGGAGAGCAGTAATATATCCTTGCATCAACAGCACACAAAAAAGTGCACCAAGCAATGCTCTAAGAGACTTTACAAACAAACTCAGAAGAACTACAGGGATTAAACACAGAGGAATTTAAACTACAAATGCAAATTCATCTTTCAGCGAAAGACCAGAATCTAGATGTCACTAGGACTTATGAGCAAATCTTCATTGCTAACATCATTCGCCAATGAAAAATAGGTAATTACTATTAACCAAACAATACAGGTGATAACTGCAACCATAAGCTGGTAACCGATTTGCACCTACAGATGCACTTGTGTGGAATGTTTTACGCTACTGGGCTCAGTGCACTTCATCTATGGACTGTGGTGTGAATTGCAGTGTTTTGTAATGCTGAAAAGTTCAAATGCTTGGATACTTGGTTACAGTGGCAACAAAGTGCTAAGCTCTTACTGTTCTAGAATACTCCACACTGGAGCATCTCCGCACTTGATAAAGTATTCAATACAAGTTCAGCTGCAGGCAAATGTTTGGAAACCACTGGCCAAATCACATGTTCTCTTTATTTTATAAGTAAACAGTCCTCAAACTTGTCCTCGTTTAGGCTGGAGCAAAAACATGGACCACAGGGTGGGTCCTCAGGACCACCGCCATAGAAAAAACACTTTTGGTTCTTTAGAGAACGAGATGTGTGATTAGAAAGACCATTTTTAAAAGTTTAAAACACCTTGACAAGAAGGTTCTAGAAAGAGTCCTTAAATTGGTACAGAACCTTTACATTTATGGGAAAAGTAAGATCATAAACCTCTCCCTGCTGTCCTTGAGACGTCCCCCATCTCGTCATCACTAAGGGAGATATCAGCCGAAATCTGTGCTGAGACTGCTTTTCAACGGCCGCAGAAGATGAACACGGCAGCACGTTAAAGATGAATAGGAGTGAATGTGGAGATAGACAGAACAGGCAGATGACAAAAGAGGAAGGCAGATACAGATTTCTCCCCATCTGGCTGGTGAGCAGGTTTCTAACGCAGAGCTAAAAGCTGGGTGTGAGTGGAGAGGAGGGCCGGGGCGTTCTTCATGTCATAAGAGATAAGGCGCCTCCACCGCTCTGAAGTGACAAGCGCTGTTCGCTCGCGGCTGGTAAGACGGTGCTAGCATATGCTTCCTCAAACTCGCCTGCCCAAATCCACACCTCATCAAAATGCAAACTTTTTCCCCTCCTCTCCTCACTCGTTCTCTGGTGGAGAGAGGAGGGGGTTGGTGGGCGCTTGCCCGCCAGTGACACCTGTGGACAGAAAGTGACATGGCGCTTAATATTTCATGGCCATGCACAGCGGTGCGCATAATCCAAAGTGAATTCCCTTAGAGCGCTCGCATTTACATGAGACCCAGTCACTCCACATTCCGTCACATAAGCTTCACCACGGCGTCCACTCTCTCATACACACACACACACACACACTCAATAAAACTGGAGGGGGTTGAGGGTGAGCCTGCATCTTTCATGAGGGTGTCCGCCAACAACCAGGGAAATCAGTGTGAAACGAAAAGTTTGCCTTTGCTAAATGGCCCAACAAGTAAATGGGATGCAGGAGGCCAAGTTGCTTGAGAGGGAGGGGCTATTCAGGTTTCAACCCCCAACAATGTACTGCAAAAGATGACATTTAAGGAGAATTTCACCTTTAAGTTTCTGGATAATTAAACTGTTAAGATGTAACAAAATCATTCAAAGTGGTTTGATGCAAAATGCTCCACTCTAGAGAAACTTAAGTCAGGATTGTTCATGGTGGTGGTAGGAACCAGACATCAGAACAGTTTAATGCTATTTAAAATGAATATATGATATGGTTTAACCATTCAGTTGTGCAGAAACTTAGTGAATTCCCCTTTAATGTCATCTTTTGCAGTGCGTTGTTGGGGGCTGAATGACTTTGTTCGCATGTAAACAATCAAATTATGCATTACACAAGATCCTACCACAGCACTCAAGTATGATTACATCTACTTTCCAAAAATGCTACTTTATTTCAACTCATGACATTCACTGCACTCGAGCACTTCATCCTACAAACACTGTCTTATTGAGACCCAATGCTTGCAGTGTCAAAATTATTAAAAATAAAATGCCTAAAAACAGAGTTTCCTCATCACTCAAGTATGCATGTGGTGATTTTCCAACAGAATTGAAGAGCAGTGCAGTGTTAGCTAAGTGGAGAGTTTAACCCTACTGTGAACCTCCAGCCCCTACAGCTCACCGCTCCCAGAGCTCACCGACAGACTGTAGGAGACGCAGGGCTGCCAGAGCCTCTGAGGCATGATGACCCTTTCACCCTTTAGCCCCAGGCATCTTACCCAAATCGCCCAGCCAGGCACAACCAGGCTTTGGTCACCAGGAAGTTCAGAGGCCATGCAGCATATCATAGGATTTGTATGTGATCAAAGGGATCGATGGGTCTTTGGTTGAGTCCAAAAAAGCTGGGGCAGTATGTGAAATCCAAATAAAAACAGATAATAGTGGTTTCTTAAATCCACTGTGACATGTATTTAAACAAAATTAGATTTAATGTATTATTTTATCGACTTCAGTGTTTTTCGTAAAAATAAGCTCATTCATGGTCTGACAAGTCAACCTTTCTGACTGTTTATGTAAATAATGGACATCATGTTCTCCGGGCCAAAGAAGGAGAGGACCATCCAGACCAGGCATGTCAAACTGGGGACCTTCTGGGCCAAAGTGCTGTGGAGCATTTACTGCCATCTAACGCTCTGAATTCAGTTCATGAAGGCCTTGTTAATTAGCTGACGAGCTGAATCAGGTGTGTTTAATGAGGCAGTGTGCAGAAATCCGCACTGTAATGGCTCTCGGGGACTGGAGCTTGACACGTGATCCAGACTGTTACCAGCATAAAGTTCAAAAGCCAGGGTCTGTTATGGTATAGGAGAGTATCACTGCCCATGGCATGGGTCGCCTGCACATCTGTGAAGGCTACATTCAAGCTGAAAGATGTACACACATTTTGTAACGACATACGCTGCCCTCTGGACGACTGCTTATTTCAGCATGACAACACCAAGCAACGTTCTACATGTTACAACAGCATGACTGCGTAGTCAAAGATTGTGCGTGCTAGACTGGGCTGTCTGCAGTCCAGAAAGTTCCTTTCTATTAAAAATGTGGCGCTTTAGGGTGCATAAAATTTGGAATGAGCCTGTATTTACCAGAGGAAAAAAAAGATGACAATACAGTTCAGAAGGAAAAACATGAATTATCACGTGTTTGTACTGTTTTTGGCTTTGTTTAATTCACATTTTACATATTGTTCCAACTTGTTTGGAATTAAGTTTTGTATATACTTTCTAAATCCAGCTGCACGCCTCTGTAGCATTTACAAACATAACATTTACATACACTAAATATTATAAAAACTTAGAAATACAGGAGCCATGTACTACCAAAGGTGAATCAGCTCAATTACTGACCACGTAAATCACTAAGCAACCTGTCTCAGCTGTTTTAATGCCTTTATAAAAGACTTTTCTTCCCCATTAGGTCATTACATATTTACATAAACAGACCACTACAGAACCACAGCTGGCCAAACATTATTTGGGTGGTGGAACATTCTCAGCATAGCAATAACACCTACATGGAAGTGGTCCTTTCAGTGATGGATGGGGTAGAAGAAGGCTGATAAACTGTGAAACAACAGATGGACTGCAGCCAGTAACTGTATACCTAGGCATACATAATAAACTAGCAACAGCTGTAAATAACATCTCAAACAAGATTTGAGAACAGACTGGTGGGGCTCTTTCCCCCTATTTATTCTTAAAAGAAAAAATAACGTCCAAACTCTTATAAATACAAACTCCGCACTCAGTCATCACATGGCAGACAGACGTTTAAGACAAATACAGCTCTAATATATGACATTACTTGATTGGCTGACTAGCTGATTAGAATCTGCCTTCATAACACTGATTATGGCTGATTGAATATTTGCAAGCAAGCATAGCCACTTTGAAAAAACTCACTGTTCAGCTTGTTTAGAGGCAGGAATTATGCTGGAGAGGAGACACACAAATGCACTGAATCCTGAATAAGCAGCGTTTTGAAGTTTAGCTATTTAATCAGACTAAAATGAAATAAAGAACGCAGTCTGAGGACTTACCTGGTGCATTTTTGTCTTTCTGATGCTGTGTTAGCAGTGGCCAGAAGTAGTGAGGCCTGATGGGAAGGCCTTCCTCCTTCATTGTCTTCATCAGCCCTACTGCCATAGCTTTAAATAAGGGAAGAGAAGTTAGTATGTTTTAATCTCTCAAAGTGTATCCATGCATATTCTGTGGGACTGCTAGGAAGGGCACACCACAGAAAACTAGCAAAAAAGGCAGCCTCAAAGCAAACACATACACAAACACACACACCTGTCTTCTTGGAATCCAGGGCACAATAGAGTGTAAACTGCAGTGGAGAAGAGTGCAAGTTGGAGTCCTTCAGATCTTTACAGAAATGAACCAACTTTTCAGGCGACTGTAAGACAGAGTGAAGATCATTTTACTCACAAATGCAAAATTACGGAAAATGATATTCAGTTTCTTTAGCAAATGCATGTACATTCCCAACTCTTTCACAGGCAAAAGAGCATGCAATACATTAATTTGTACAGTCAATTAAAATTAAGAGACCATTTATCAGTTTAACCAGACCAGAATCAATACTACAAAGCTGGGTCCATGAGTTAGTGAGCTAATCTTAACGAGCTAAAAAAAGCAAAATGCAAATTTATAAAAAAAAATAGAAATATGAACTACATCGACCTCGATTAGCATTACAAAGAAATGTATTATAAATATAGTAAAATGAAGAGAATGCATGCACCGAATGTTCTCCTCTGTCAGAGCACAATAAATAAGTCAGGAAGGTTATTCACCACCAATTCGCAACAGAGACACTATACAGGAGGAGACGGTTGGAAATCGAAGCAGAGAGCTTGTAATGCTCACCATCATTTCTGTGTATGGAGAAAATCACACCCTTCAACAAAATGTTGTTACATAAAATGCAGCACATGCAATGTACGTAGAGTTTCTAGATAAAGCTAATTCACAGCCCCTGCAAATTGCAAATAACCACACACTTGCCTCAAACTGAAACAGACCTAAGTCATTTTATTGTCCTGTATTGCTGCAAAAACAATAGCAGCAGACATTAGGAGTTGGGGGAAAATTAGATTCTTAGATGCGTTGCGATGCGGACGTGGATGATTCTGAATGGATTCACAAATGTCAAAAATCGATTTTCCAAATTTTAATTTATAACGTAATGTTGACGGAACGCAAAAGGCGGAACTTGGAAGTGCGGAAGTGCAGCGTCCGGACGCTCTGTGATAACAGATAATAGATAATCTCCAGAATCATAAACTGCTGCTTTAAGTTCCTATTTTCTAAAGTAGCAGGCAGGCTGTCAGGCTGCTCACCTTATCCATGTTCACACAGTGACGGAGGAAGAAGTTGCCCAGGTCTGGGTTGTCACCGTTCTGTGACTCTGCCTGCAGACTAGGGAAGGTTTTCAGCACAGCAAATGCTGTATCCTCAAAGCCCTGGGTGATCAGACTCAAACACAGGTTCATCGCATCTACACACACACACACACACACACACACACACACACACACACACACACACACACACACTTAAAAACCATATTCACAACACTGAAAAAGAACAGTTATGAGTTTCATTCTGTGCTTTTTCTCAGCCTTCATGAAATGCATTCTGTTTGTCTGTGTACTTTCGCCCTATATGATACCTGACAACAAAACAAAAGAAAGGTGTGGCAAACCATATGTACAAAGTGAGAAAGACCATAGTCATATGTAGATTAGAGAACAGCACCTGGTACATAGCCTCTCTCATGTCTCATGCGCTCCACTATCTCCGGCACATGCTGCTGATGGCCAGCCTTAGTCAGGCTGAACATTATCTGCATCAGGTCTCTGTCCATCAGACTGATATCTTTGTTCTCCACTGCATCTAGAGTCTGGGAACGAGGCAAAGAATACAGTCACACTGAAACACAACAGGCAGTTACCATATACAAATGATCAAACATCTCTCAATAGCAAAGGCATTCGATTCAGGTCCTGGAGGGTCAGTGTCAGCGGTTAGTGATTTCCCTGCTTAAACACAATCACTAAACCTGGCAATTAACTACGGGTGTAATATTTTGAGTCAAAATGAAAATGAACTGTAATGAGCATTCAAAATAACCAAAGAAAACAGGACCACGATTCTGGCTTTTTTCTCTTCATCAGTGCAGGGACTGTTACACTCAGCTCTTTGGTGCAATCAATGTCTTATCTGCCAAGTTTTTTCAGACATCATTAACAGGGCTATATGACCCCACACCCTTTTCACTGTTTACATTTTTTCCCCTAAATTCACAATTTTTTTTAGAACTGTCAAAGTTATCACTAATAACACTAATAACGTATCTTCCATTTTTACTTTAATCGATTTCCAACCTAAAGCCCAGCTGATTGTGCACTGTTGCTATAACTATATAAATACCTTTAGCCAATTTTTACTAAATCCAGTTAAACAGGCCAGATTATTCTCAATTTGAAATGAAACATGTAATAGACAGTGTTCTTTAAGTACTGACGATACCCATGACATGCTCAGAAAAGCCTATTGAGACATAATTAACCAGGATAATGTTAAAATATCGTCACACTGCCCACCCCTAAGTCAAACCCACCGCTGATGAAGCAGTAACTCAACAGCAAAAGTAGAAATCTAGAGTTCCCCTCAAAAGCCTCCACTGTAACAAGGATTCATAAACTGTATGAACAGAACAGAACCATTAATGATATATATGATATATACACTCATTGTTTGGAACATGCAGCCACTGTTGCTCTCACTGGACACACTGATGAAAAGTGGAAACTGTGCTGACTCCGCAGAAATCAAGTTCATGGTTTTATGCTCAGCTTCATGTGAAGCCTGTCTTTACATAATGAAAACAATGCTACTGAAAGTAATAACATTCTGATGAGACTTATTTTGTCCACTCATAGCTATATCAAAATGTACTGCTTTTACACAGGAAATTCTTCGGGGTCAAATCTGCGCAAGTGAGACAATCACTATTAATTACAGAAAAGAATGTAATTAATCACAATTTATTCAACTATATCATATGCTACATAATTTTTGCATCTTTTGACAGCCCTACTTTTTTTTTGACACTTTACATAAAGGGATGATTACTTTGTTAACCAATTATATTTGGGGTTTAAGTATTTGGTTTTACTATTTATTTTATTGAATGTTTGCTAATAGTTATAAAAATGTAATCTAATAAAATATTAATTAGCAAAGGAGTTGAATGATGTGTTTGAGCAGCGAAAACACCAAGATAGAGCTGAACAATTAATCTTTTAGATATCAAAATAGCAATTTCAACTACATCCCATGTTTTAAACAAAGAGAAAACTGCAACGGTAACATTGTTTAGAAAAATCACAATCAGAAATCAGAAAATCGTTCAGCCAAACTGTGTTAAACACCGACCCTCTACGACAGAACTAAATTTGTACTGATCTGTATTTTCCAATCTAAGGCAGAATGACATTATAAAATTATTTTGAGCACAATTTAGCAGAGTACATGTATACACAGACCATCAACACTCACCTCTTTGATTTTGGCAAGGTCTCCCTTCTCAGCATAAGCACAGAGCAGAGCTAGGTAAGTGTCTGGACCTGGCTCAATGCCTGCCCCACTCATCACTGACAGGATGTTAGCAGCACTCTCCATGTCTCTGCAAACAAACAGAAAAATAAATAAATAGACAGACAGATAAAGTAAGATAAAAAGATAAACAGATAGAGGCTAAATTACAGAAAGATCAGCAGATGGGGAACACACTTCAGAAGGGCCACTGGTATTCCCACTAAAGTCAACTCACCCTGCTCGACTATGGCCCGTCACCAGGGAGTTGAACACAGCCTCTGTGATGGGCAGGTCTTTGCTCTTCATGAAGGCCAGGATTTTACTGCAGACACAACAGGAGTTTAGTTCATGACTAAAAAAACATTTAGAGCGCTCAAAACATACAACAGACTGACTATGAGTTACCAGCAAAAACATTATTACTCAGTTTATTTCATAAAATGTTCAAATAAAGCCAACAAATTATGTCAGCAAATCCTCTCTTACCTTGCACCTTCAATGTCACCATCTTGACAATATGCTGCAATCAGTCTCTGATAGGTCACCTAACAGCAGAGGATGGTCAATTTTAACCTGTTTAAATCATCATTTTAACTCAAAACCAAAGACCACAAGTCATTAAATCATAAAACTACTGAAAAGAATACAATACCAATAAGTTTGACACCCACATTTGTCAGGAAAAACAAATTAAACTGAATTTCTCACTTTTTGAAATAAAAGAAATTGATATGGTATATAAACACTGGTAAAGATTTCAAAATAAAAAAAATAAAAAAAAAACATTCACTGCCCAATCCTTACAGTCCAAATATGGAAACTAAGCAACAAAAACAGCCTACTTTGAATTCACTGTTTTTGTGATGTCATATGCATTTACATATACCTGCCTATGCAACCTACAGCAGTTAAGCCCCTCCCATTCGTAATGAAGGTATATGATGTGTTTCAGCCCGGACTGCTTTTTGAATGAGGCACAATATAGGACAGCCAATCAAAACACAGGTCATTTACAAATATCAGATTTAAAGGCACAGCGGCAAAAACAGCCTGTTTAATTGTGAAAGATAAAGAGAAGTTTGGGAAATGGCCATTTAAAAACGTATTATACATCATCGCTGTGCAAAGAAAAACATGCATCATCAAAATAGTAACTTTACAGGAGAACAAAAAAAAACTCAACTTTCAATGCAAGTTAATGTAATGAGGTTTTAAGTGATTTTGGAAAAGTTCTGTTGGTCCATTCATCATGGAAAAGGACCACTGTTGTGTTCAAATGATGTAGTAATCTGAAAATCAAATAAAAATGGAGATACACGTTTTTCTGTGGACAGTAATGAAATGTTTTTGCTACATAAACCCACATAAATGTCATAAGTGGGCCTCAAAAGACAACTGTAGCACATGGCCTTTTATCTAACTAAACCATTCAAGCGACTGAAACAATCATTCATTCTACTGATTCTAACATCCCTTACTTCAGCGAGCAGAGATGCTCACTTGTTCACATCCTACTCAAACTTCACTCACTCTGTTGGGCTGGACATTGGCTGCCTCCATCTTGGCAAGAAAGTCAGTGGGGGAGAACTTGAACTCATTCTGGAGGTAGACCTTAAGCAGGGCATTGTAATGGCTGACATCATAGGTAGCACCTAGAATAGAAACATTAAAGTTAAAACGGATTTGTGCATCAGGCTTAGAACTAGTGGGAGAGCAGAAGGTGCACTCCTACCCAACTCCTGCAGCTTCTCCCAGACACGGTGGGCTAACTCCGTGCGCTCGGCAAAGGGCAGCTCAGGAAGCAGAGAGCCGCAACTTCTCAGCAGCAGCAGAGCCTGGTTCCCACTGGGGTAGCCTGGAGTGGCAACACAAGACATCATGTGGTCAGTAAACACAGATAAATAACAGACAAAGGCACAATCATGAACAGGGCTACACTGTCTACAACGCTTTAAAATCTAAGGGCCCATCAACTCCCACATTTACATTATATATTGGTTTCATTTTAGTTTTTGAATAAGTAATAGCAGCTACTAGGGATGGGCTATATTGTTCATCACAATACATTAGATCACAAGTTTTTTCTGAGCATATTGTGGGTACTGCATCTTCTACTGGAATTAGAAAATTTAATATAACTAAGTTTTCACTATACTGACAGAAGAGCAATGATGCTCAAGTTCAAGATAGCATAACTGGCTCTGCTAATTTAGATGTAGTGCCATAGTGTAAAAATCAGAACAACTAATGATCATGATACACAAGCTGCACTGCAAAAATGTTTTCAGGTATATATTTTTGTCATATTGTCCACTTCCAGGAGATAATACTAGATAATAAAGCTTACTAATAGAGGAGCTAATGTCACCCCGCTTTACCTGTTCGACAGATATCATGAAAGATGCGCTGAAGCAATGTTTTGGTAACTCGACCGGTCCTTCTGACTGAGCTGTCCAGTTTTGCGAGAGCCCAGTCAAACTGCTGGGCTTGCTTGGTGCGCACTCCGAGGCTGGGCTCATCTTTGACCACCCCTTTCTGTTCTGGAGCTGTACCATAGTAACGCAGTGCTGAACAGGGCCACGCTGAGCTGTACGAGAAAGGACTGAAAACAGAAGTGCTCCATTACTGCTGGGTAATATATCATCTATACTTGTATACCATAAGCTTGCTTTCCAGGTTTAATGGTATTTTATCAATATACAGATAATGAGCATTGGATTCGTAATAATTTCCATAAATAATACACCTGTTGCCAAATAGTTTGTTTATGTCTTTTTAATTCACTTTTGTGTGCTTTATACTGCCCAGGACCTAACAGACAACTGTCATTTACTGGGTTTCTCACATTGCTTTAAATGAACAGACTAAAATCAATAAAGGTTTGCAAAAATGGCCTCATTAACTTAAAATGACATGCTAACTTAAATATCATCTGATACTGTGATAGTGATACTCATCAATACCTCACAGCTCTACTCTGCAGTTTGTTTATAAGGTTTTACCACTGCCCTATGTATACATATATGACCGTCAACAAAAGAAGAGAGAAAATTACATAAGAATTAAAAAGTCAGTGACAAGGCAAAACTGGTTAAAGAGGAAATTTTCAAAATATCTGCACATTTTAAGTCATTCAGAAGGCTTTGGTGCGAAATGCTATGTTCTAGAGAAACTTACTAAGTCAGAATTATTCATAGTGGTGGTGATAGGAACCAGACATCTAAAGCATTTAAATCATTGTCAAATCATTCTCTCTAAAAGCTCCCTAATAGAAAGGTATTACATTAAATGGTTATGAAACACTACCTGATGCCTGAAACACTGTTTTCAGACAGCTTTATGAAGGCTTTGGCTCAAAACCTTTTAATGTTTGAATCCAGAGTGGAACAGACAGGCTATGTTAGCGTTTCAGACACTGCAACCCCTAGTTCCCATCACCATCACTGTAAAGAATTCCAAGTCAGTAAGTTTCTCCATAATAAACCACTTCACATCAAAACAAACTGAAGGACTATGTTTACAGCACAATGATTGACTTATTTTGGAAATCTACTTCCCCTTTAAGATGCTTGGGTTAAGTTCTATGTACAGCAGCCATTCAGGGCCTCAAGACCAACCAGCCCTGCTGCTCTCTGAGTGAAAAGACCTCTTAGTTCATTTAGCACTGCTGTACAGACTAGACTAGAGATATTAGGAAAAAGTGGGCAAAACAGAGTATTATTGTCTGACATGTGGCCTCACTGAGAGACAAAGTGCACATGATAAATAATGACCTTGACCCACTGACCTGGTAAACACTAACAAGGAAAGAGACAGTAATGATGCACCAGATTACAAATGTATTCATTTTCAGGGGGAATATGCATTAAATCAGAGATAACTAGCATGTTTCCAAAGATTCACACCAGGGAACAGACAGTGATCATGGAACTGAGGCAGAGCTATACAACTAATGATGGTTAACAATGCTGCTACAGACATGTTGTAATAGGGAACACAGCTGGTACAGACATGTTATAACAGATAACACAGCTGGTACAGACATGTTGTAACAGGTAACACAACTGATACAGACACGTTGTAACAGGTAACACAACTGATACAGACACGTTGTAACAGGTAACACAACTGATACAGACATGTTGAGGCGTTTATACGTAGAAAATGAGTATGTAAATGAAATGTAACTGCTGATAAGTGACATCTTATGTCTGTAAAGTCACAGCTTTGAGTCTGTCAAGCAAAGCAGGCCGCGTTTTTTTCAACCAGGCTGGTTCAAACTTTCTCGTTCAACCTTAAATACTGCAGCTTTTACGTGCTGGTGCTGCACCATTTAAGGTGGAACGTGGAAATTCGAACAAGAACCCAACTTCAGCCTCGTTTTCCTTCAAACCAAAGCAGAACCCGTATAGCTAACTTACCCCGAGCACAAATGGAATGAAATATCTAATATCTGTATTTTAGCAAAGGCTCCACATTAACACCTCCTGGTCAGGATGAATGTTATCCTGAGGGCAGTCTGTACGGACAAAGCCGAAATAGGCTTCTTTTTCGCCAGCTTCTTAACTAAATTTTCCGCTCCACCTTAAATGACGAACCACTTACATTCACCATTTAAGGTGGAACGGAAAACTCGAATAAGAGGCCAACTTCAGCCCTGTTCGTGACGGTCATGCCCCCGCCGGTCACTGTGAGATCTAAACAAGCATGGGCTGCGCAGCACGCCGCGGCCAACAGCCTCAACCTACCTGTTCACACTGCCGCTGAGCCCCGCTGCCCTTCGGCAGACCGCTCTACTGCAATAGCCACTAACGGTCGCTACATGCTTGTGTGTCCCCTTCACCGGCAGAAGGGCACAGGGGGAGATTTTCAGCAGCCGGGCAGACCGTAAGAGCGCAGCCATGTTTAACCTGCAGCAGAGTGGGAGAAGGACATCCGCACCGCGTCACAGGGCAGAGGGCGCCGGACGAGTACATTATCCACATACAGAGGGGGGAGTTGTGTATTTAACAAGGACAGATGTTATGAAATACGTCGTATCATGAATAATTGTATGCCGTATGTTTTAATATTATATTTTAAACGCAGTTTAGATAGCTTAAGCGCCTTGCCTGTGCTATGTGTAAATATAGTTAGTTCACAGCTGAAATCAGCGCTTGGATCAGACCATGGAAACGTTAAAGGGGACGCATCCAGTGCTGACCGCAGTGATGTGCGACCTCGGGTTTTTGGACTTGATTCCAGTTGTCTACTCCTGTCGCTGGAATCGATGAAATCAACTCCGCTTTATTTAAAACCATTGATTTAAAACCTCGAGCTTCGAAGGCAAATTCGGGGCGATGTACTGAGAAAATAACTACATAATTTTGATAATAATAATAAATAAATCATAGCCAGTTAACCAGATTTAAAGTAAAGTTTTTATTCTGGAGCCCCTGAATATTATCGTATTCCTTTTTCTATGCGGCTGAATTTGGCTAATTCGCCAGTTGTTTTCTCGTTCTAATTTTCCGTTCCACCTTAAATGATGCAGTAGTTAACTAAATAGTGTACATGTGCAAGAACGTTGCTGCAGCACCTTTTAAGGTGGAACGGAATATCTGAATAAGAAGCAGGCGAAACAATGCCAACTTCAGCCCCATATTGTTTTCCCCAGCGTTCTGCGAAAAATAATGTTTACTATTGTTTTTTGATTTCGTTCCCTGTGCAGCTTTAAACCCTTGCTTGTTGCAGTCCTAATCATGTTTCCGTAGCGGAGTTAGAGCGCAGAGCGGTGCACGGTAAAGGCGGATATACTCATCACGTTTTTAGCAGCGACCGGTGAGCAGCGTTGTATTATAAAGCTGGTAAACGAACTCAACTCACGATACCGTCAGAATGTCATTTGAGCCAACTACAACGGAAAAACACGGAGTCGAAGAGTCGACTTAAGTATTTCGACCAAGACGTACTGGATTCAAAGAATCGGCTCTTTTGGAATCGACTCCTCATCACTACTTTAGGCGCTTCACCCTGGGCTGTATTGCAGTAACGTTGTATCCCCAGTACTATTTAAGAAAAAAAGCACAGCACAGTTTATGTTAGGCGGGCAGTGATTTACTAAATAATTATCGACGTTTATTTGCACCTTGCTACGAATTATGAGTGTAAGTCAATTCAAGATCCTATTTTCTGTGTTATCACGGCTGTTTTAACACTACGGTTTAGCCAGCTGACGTGAGTTAGTTTTAACCATAGGTGTGTAGTTAAGAGTCTGTGGTTTTAACGTTAACATCTGTGTGTTGACCAGTGGCTCCATTATGGGCAGGTAAAAGTGATTGCGCAGCTAATGCACACATAGCGGTAATTTAATAGCACAGCTTCAAGACTGAGAAATGTCCTTTATTCAAGTTAGAGAAACGATTCGTCATCAATGACCTGACCTAAGTCACTCACCTCACTGTGGGTGAAACTAGTTGCAAACAGCAGGTTAAATGTTCACACTGTAAAAAAAAAATCCTAAATTTCCTTCAGGAAATCTCATCTATCTATCTATCTATCTATCTATCTATCTATCTATCTATCTAAAATATAAAAATATAAATTCTGAATTCATCTTTCATATAATGTACAAATCGTATTTACTGTAAGTAAAAATTTATATGGCTAATAATTTAGTTTATTACTAAATAATTACTAAATAATAAATCAATTTTTATTTACATCAAATCTTTGCCATAGTCAAATGCATATCTGTTTACACATTGCATACATACATTTAACGTAAATTTATGTTAAGTAAGATAAAATCACAAGTTTACTTTCACAACTTATTTATACATAAAATAACAAACCATCACATTAAATAAATGATGAAAGGTAACATCATTGTAGTCTTCAGACACTGGTTTTGCTCTTATTCAACACTGATTAATCATTATTTAGTTATGCCCTTTACCTGATGTGTCATATATTCAAATGCTTATTTCAGTGAAGTAGCCCAAAACACCAGCAAATTTCAGTTTAGAGAAGTGGAATGATCTGACTGCAGCATTTTAAAGGTAGAAAATATGATTTGTATTTTTAAAAGTTTCTTCTTTTTTTATTTTAATTACAATCAACACAAGTGTGGTTGATCTGAGTAAATGAGCAGTGATAACCACAAGTTATGTTATGTTCAGGTACAAATATAACTGTCATTAACAGACATGTGAGTGAACAGTAACTATGCAGTGAACATTACATTAATCCATTCATTCGTTTGTTTGTTTGTTTGAATGCCAGATATTACAATAGGTCTCCTTGTATTTCTGCTGTATAATTTTTTAGCTTAGAGGCATGTTGTGCTTTGCTGCTTGGTGCTGTCTGGGGTCAAGTTTGGAAAAGGTCAGCCAGGTGGGGTGTTGCCAGGCACAAACCGATGCCCACCGGGTAACCATGTCTCATGCCGGGTGTCAGGACCGAGGAGCTCTATCATGTCTGACATGTGGCATGCTGCACTCGTTTTCAAAGTGGACACACCAACACACGTGCCACCCACACAGCAGCAGCCAGCTGACAGGTGACATGGAACAGGCACTGCCTGCCAGGCACATTCGTCTGACTCCTACTGAGCAGGCCCTGCGCCGTCCCAGACTCAGTCCGTCAACCCCTGTCAGTCAAGCCCTCCTACTGAGGGGTGGTGCTGCTAGTGTATGAGCTGGACTTTGAGGGGCTTTGGCGAGCCTTGTGAAGCAGAATGAGTGTTTATGAACAGGCCTTAAAACTCTTTCATGCATTTTTTTTAAAGAACATATTAAATTTTAAAAGATTTTTTTCTACAAATCATCATCTCTATTAAACATGTAATGGAACTGTCCGCATGTGGACACCATGCATGAAAGCGTCAAGATGAGGTTGGCATTTTTTCGAGAGATCACATAAACAAGTAATGGCCATATTTGTGCTTTGGAATACTGTATTTCTGCTGAAGTTGTACTGATCTTGCCGATGGAATTGACTTGAAATGACTTTTGTTGACTGAATTAATTGAAATGACTGTTTTTGAGGATCTAAAGTTTGACTTGACCTTAACCTTGGCTTTGAGGAGAGTGGTTGAATACTTATTATTAAGGGTGTAAAATGCATTGAGTTTAGGGTGGCTTCACATGGTGAAACTTTCATGCAACTAGTTGCATGTTGTGAGTTGCCTGCAATATAATTACATAAAGCAATTCAAAATCAAAGGTGCATGCAACACATTCAATTACTCAACTTGTTCGCTAAGTTTGCAGCTCATATTTTTGATACACTGTATCATTTTTGCTGTAAAGTCATCCACATTTCTATCCTTTTTATATGCTTTTTTTCCAGCTGTCATCATTAATGGCATTGCCATCATTACTGGCATTGGCCTTAACAATGCTTTTAGGCCCAATATCTTTCAACCATCTAGCTTTTTAAAGGGCCATGTTGTGGAAAATTGAATTTTCAACATATTTACATATATCCAACTATTTAGCCTATAGCAGTTTAGCCCCACCCACTGACACCTAAGATATAAGGAGTGTTTCAGTCTGTATTACATTTTGAATGAGGCACAACACATGGCAGCCAACCAGAACAGAGCTCATTTGCATATACCTAAAGGCACAGTAACAACGTTTATTTCTAAGAGATGAAGAGCAATTGGATAACTGTCATATAAAAATGAATTATGATTATTTATACCTCATATGTAGACCTAGGATTTTTTTTATAACAATATGCTCCCAGCAGAAGCCTTGTGATCCCTATAAAGTATCACTTGGAGCCACCACAATCTCACAGACACACAGTATTAATATTTTACTAACTGTACACAAGAAAACAAATTCCCCCATACAACCATCCACACTGCCTATAGACCTCCACTGCTAGTGTGAGGATGGTCCTACAAAGCTGTTAAAGAATTGATTGCGAACCTTCACAGCACCCTGCTCTGTGAATGGGAGCACGCTGCTTGATAGACTCCGCTCGCCTGCCGCTCTGAGGGGAGTGGCCGCTCTTTCAGAGGCCATGAGAGCTAAAAGTGGGGAGCTCAGGGGAGGAAACATCTCAAGGTCACTGAATTATAGAGGAGAAGCGAGGAGGTGAGCTGAGCACTGGTGCTCCCTCCTCCCTCCTCCCTCTCTTTCTTTTTTGCTGAATGAACTGATGAAATGCCTGGGCTATTTTTCTACAGCATGGATGCATTTGTTAGCAATCTTTTATTCATCATGCTAATCAATTATTTACCGATTATTTTCACTCCTTTACCGTAGAGTTTTGCTGATCTTTTTTCTCCCTCTGCCCAAATTGAAGACCATATCATATGTTAGAGGAATATTTATATTTCAGGTCTGTGGATGGGAAAATGGTATATCTCAGCTTTCTGCTTACCATTGTTTTTAAAACTCACCAAACAAACAAACATAATATCATGGCAAGGTCAGACGAGATACTTGCAGCAGAGCACAGGAAGCCACACCATTTCCATACTTTCAATATTCAATAATGACATCATCAAACAAGGGTGCTTCCCACTGGGCCAGCCTTTAAAGATGAATGTCTTCTGTTGAATCTCTGAAAAATTCAATTGTTAAGATGTGAGCAAAGTCTTTCAGAGTGGTTTGATATGAAATTCTCCTTTGTGGAGAAACTTACAAAATCAGAATATTTCACAGTGGTGGTAATAGGAACCAGGCGTCTTTACCAATACCAACATTATATTGCAATATTATAAAATATTAAAAAGAGGACATGTGCAGGTTCACTGCTCATACTGGAGAAGTGCCGGGGCGGCACGGTGGCGCAGTGGCGCAGTGGGTAGCGCTGTCGCCTCATAGCGAGAATGGCCTGGGTTCGATTCCCGGCTGGGCGGCCAGGGTCGTTTCTGTGTGGAGTTTGCATGTTCTCCCTGTGTCTGCGTGAGTTTCCTCCCAGAGTCCAAAAACA